CTCTCCTCTCCCTTTGTGCAAGTGCAAATGGCCGTTGCCCTAAACCCTAATATAGGGGTTTAAATAGTTACCTATACTATTTTGTTTTTTTGGAGGGGGGGGCCCTATTATAATTACAGAAAAATGGCCCCCAAACCCTACTCTAATCATTGAGGCCCCTACGTTAAACCCCCATAGCACCCCTCATAGCACTCCTTACAGACTCCTTTACAAGGAACCCTTTGAAGTTTGAAGGGAGCCATATACAAATTATCAAGACCCCTATACTAACTCAGAGACTCCAAAACCCGTTGATTAAGGAATATACCTTAAATTACTGTAGTATATTAGGAAACCTACTATGATTTAGGGTATATTCCTGAATTAGGGAGTTTTGGAGTCTCTAGGAACTCCCTACCATCCCTAAAAGCCTCAGACCCTGAACCCGCCCTAAATACCCCTCATAATTATGGACCCTTGGAAAGGAACCCTTAAAGGGGATCCTATTCTAGTCTAGTTGATTATAGCCCTACTTGGAGAATACTTAGTAAGTAAGGTTATAAGTACCTTAATTGGGCTTATAAGTAGTTATAAGTATGGTTACCCTACTTATAACCCTAGTTACTAAGTCCCGTGATCCTTTAAGTAAACTAACTCCCTAACTTCCCTCTGAACCTCCGATCGGCACTTTCCGCAGCGAAGCTTTGCATCATATCTCAGGCTCAGGGGTTTAGGATTTAGACTAGGGGCCTTAAAAATGAAGTTAGGTAGGATAGGCTTTCTGTAACGTAGGGGTTCTATGAGGGCTTTAGGCATCGAGGATTTAGTATGGGTGCCTCATATCATGATCTTAGTAATTAGTTAGGATAGGGTTCCTGGATTTATTGGGCCCTTAAGAACCAGGTAGGGTAGGGCTCCTGTTTAGTATAGGGGCCTTGTATAATGATCTTACTGGTTAGGATAGGGTTCCCGCAAGGGGGCTATGATGGATTTAGGGGCCCTCATGTTGGAAGCGACACTTATTGGTGTCGGTCAATGTTGGGAGAGCGCGTCGCCTGTCGTAGGAAAAGGCTACGCGGGTTTCAGCCTCAGTCGCCCAGTGTTGCCCTTATTCCCATGCAGACGCTACAAAACCCTTCAATGAGGGAATTCACAGAAAATTCTTAAGGGTGGCCAATATCATGCTTTAAGGAAGGACTATTTCGTGGTTAGGGAGTTTTGGAGTTTTTTGGGAATCCTCATGTTCGAGTTTCCTTTCTAATCAGGGCTGATGCCAAGAAGGGTTTTCACGGGACGCTAGTGTCAAGATGGGCAAAGTTGCTTTGGGCCGAAGGTCGAGTTAGTAGTCTGCAACGGTACCCAGATAGTTCCTTTTAGACTTCTACGTCCCCGACTCGCGTCTTCATGCAGCGTGGTTCGATCAAACACAGGAGCGACAGTAGCCCAGCAGGTAGTTTAGGGTAGGATGTATGGTTGAGGATTTACAGGTCTGGAGGGTTTGGAGTTTCTGGCAAACGATGGATGCAAGTTGGAAAGTGTAGAGTTGAAGATTTAGATTTAGATTTTTTTGGGTTTTGTGTGTAGAGTGGAAATCCTGCACCACGCAACCCAGGTTTCTAAACACGGTGCCCTACAACCTAAGTACTTCCAAGAATGCCCGAAGCCCCAGACAGATTTCGTGAGCACAGGTGGATACTGAACCCGTAAAAGCACAACCTGCAATCCGGAGGTTGAGAGGCCGTAATTCCCAAACCTTGAACCCCCAACCCATACAATCCTAAACTCCTAAACCAAGATATCCCAACCAGGACCCCCCAAGCACCCTTTAAAGGGCTCTGATGTTTCCCATTAAGAGATAATTGGGGACTACAATAGAGGGTAGGGGGTGTCTAGGAACATCCTTGCCTCAAGAAAGCCCAGCAAAATGGAGCTGCTGTTGAAGCTGCTGCGACATGCCTCCGAGTCTTCGCGCCTTGGCCTTCCAGGATCTTTGAGCCTTAACCCTAAGGCTCAAAATGGCCCAGAAGCCTCATATAATATGGTCTTTAGGCCCAAAAGCCTTTTTACAGAGTCCTTAGAGCCTTAAGGTAAGCTTTTATAGCCAGTGGGAGACCGTTAAAGTTGTTGGCCTGATATATCCTCTGTCTATCTGAGAAAGTGGCGAACTTTTCTTTGTCCGGCTGTTGAAGAACCCAGAGATTCCACCTTAAACGATAAAATTAGGGCCCCTATTATCTAAGGTATATTCCCTAATTAAGGGATATCGGGATTTCTGAGAAGAGATTAAGGGTCCAAGCGGTAGGGCGTTAGGACTCAAGAGTTATCTCTTGAAGGGCTTGCGGCACCTGAAACCGTGCCAGTCTTCGTATTGGAGTTCCTGGACGCTTGGGGTAATGTACCTCAAGGAACACTTGTAATTAATCTTGTCTCTATAGTGTTGTTAGGTGTGTAAGTGCCGTTGCGGCGGAGAGTCAGTTAATCTCTTACCATCCTATGCAGATGATGTGCATGACCAGATGCCGAAGCTGTTCGTTTGCGGCTCAGGGATCAGGGGTGTAGTGCCTTCGATACAGGCCGAGCTGTTCAAAACAAAGCCACAGTTTCCAGCATCCAAGAGCAAAGCACCCGGAACCTCAACAACAACAACAACAACAACCCTTCAAACACTCTAAGCCCTAAACCCTAAACCCTTTGAGCACCACGCGAAAAGAAAGCACACCCCCTAAAAACACCCTAAACCCCAAAAGCAAGTGATAAGTCCCGGAGCATAGTTTTAATAGTTACCCTGCTTTCAGCCCGCTTATAGCTACCCCATGTCCATGTACCCAACCAGTATACAACCCTAAACCCTAAACCCTAAACCCTCAACAGCCAGCCTTCATCTCCGACAAAGGTGGGCCTGGGCTGTGTGCTCCTTGCGGCTCAGCTCAGACACACACCTTGGTTGAGGGGTTTAGGGTTTCTGGGGTTCGGGGTTTAGGGTTGAATTAGGGCGTAGGGCCTATAGGGTTTGGGCCTGTCAGGGTTTTTGGGCTTTGGCGGTTGAGGATGTTTGGGTTTCAAGGTTTTGGGAGATGGATCCCTTTGTCTCTGGGCTTCCCCATGTTGCAAGAGGAGCTGACCCCTAAACCTAAACCTCTAAGCCTCAAAGCCTGCATTCTGAAATTCCCACTTGGAGGGTCGGGGGACTTAGTAAGTAGTAAGTAGACTTACAAGTACCCTAAAAGGGACCCTAATTGGGGTTATGGTACTTATAAGTCCCTAAAATAACCAGTTACTAAGTCCCCCGACCCTCCAAGCAACCACCAACTCCTCGGCCTGCCCCACTGATTGCTTTTCCACTTCCTCGAGGTCGAGAATAATCATGCACGCCTTCTGCTCCAAGTCCAATTCCAAGAAGGGGTATGGCCGTTGGGTACGGCCCCCACTCAGTAAGAGTTGGATAATATTATAATAATATAGTATAGATATATAAGGCCCTTAATAGTAGCCCTATTATAGACTGTTACTGTATGGGGGCCGTACCCAAGGTATGGCCTTCATGTCCTCGGGAGTCCACCCCGGTGGAGCGGACGTGGCGTTGCGCCCCAGGCCTAATGGCAGGCTGGGCCACGCCGTCTGTTCCTTGGTTGACCGGTTCATTTCTGCCCTCTGCCCTGGAAGCTATGAAGGGGGGCAAGCCGCAGATGGCGGTCAGAAAGGTGACGGATGTTCGGGTGACCCAGTCCGCTGATGTGCCAGTCAAGGGGAAGGGTGGAACCGACCTTCGCAGGAGACTGGTCCAGGCGGCCAAGAGACTGAGGTTCCTTACTTTCCTGAGTCTTTCCGGTCTGCCCGGGAACTCAATCGTCTCCTAACCTCAATGCTGATCAGGCTCAACGAGTGCGCTATACAATCAAGGGGGCTAATGAATGCCCTGCATGATTGTCCGCCCTGACGATCGGCTCTTCGGAGCTTTCCACTTGCTATGCTATAGCCTGCACGTCATCCCGGCACTTGGGACAACTCGTAGGTTGGGGGTTTAGGGGTTAGGGGTTTAGGGTTTAGGATTTGGGGGTTAGGATTCGGGAGTTTAGGGTTTAGGGTTTGAGGGTTGGGGTTTCGGGTTTGCTTAAGGACTGATTTCGTAATTAGTGCGAATAGTTCCTCCCTTGTAGCCCCTCGACAACTCTACCCCGAAACCCATAGTTCAGTCATTCGGGCGCCTACAGGTTTGCGGATCTTTCCCAAACTAAGCGTGCCCAGAATCTGCTTCCACGGGAGCCTGAGTAGTTGCTTTTGCGGTCCCTATATTGTGGGGCATACTTACCGTAAGACTTCATGTGCCCATATAGCAGGTACTTAGGAGTTAAAGGGGTGCATATAGGTACTTTAAGGCCGCAGTACCTACTATATGGGTGCATGGAGCCTTTGGGTTACATAAAGCAGAATAGCATTTCACAAGTAAGAAACCTTATTTTCCACTGTGTAGGTACTTAGGTTTGGAACCTTTCTGTAGTTCGGTGGCACAAAGACAGCACCTTTCATTTCCGGGTGGGCAACAACCCCTTGGATTGGATGCCCCGCTCAGAGATCATCAGCCCGAGCCACGGATTGATGCATGCAATGCAAAGACCCTCCCGTATCCGAAGGGTCCATGTATCCAAACAGTGTATACTTTGGCTCTAAAGCACCTATATAGGGACCTCATGAAGGCGAATTTATGTAGTATGGGAGTACATGGACCCTTCGGGATACCCAAGCGGCCCTGCGTTCTCTGTTTTCTCTTTGCAGCTGGCTCTTATTCCAATCCTGAAGGCCCTAAACCCTAAACCCAAAGCATTTAGCATGTCTGAGCGCACTCGACAGAGTCCAGCCAGCACAGTGAGAGAAACCCAAAGCATTGCAGGATTCTCTACTTCCTGTTTGCGGCTCTCTTCTATACCAAACCTACAAGCGCTAAACCCCTTAGCCTAAACCCATAACGGCAGAGCATTCTTTGGGTTTCTTCTACCCTGAACCCTGGACCCACCGCGGCAGAGGATTCTTTACTTCCTCTTTGCGGGCCTCTTCTATACCAATGTGGAAGGATGGACTTGGCTCGAGGCAGGGTTTCCAGAGGGTCCATATTTTTTCTCCATATATACTCCTTTAAGGGTTCCTTTTAAAGGGCTCCTTTGAGGGTTCCTTAAGGGCTCTTTAGGGGTCTAGAGTGTGGGGCTGAGGGTCCATATTTACTCCTATTATGGAATTAGGTAATTACCAAAAGACCATCCCTATTCTGGCTTTGGGAACCTAATTCCATAATGGTAATATGTATGCACCCTCTAGGTTCGTCGGCTTCTTCCCTCAAAACCCTGAAAGCCCGAGTGCTAAAACTGAGCCCTAGACGAAGCTTAGGGTTTAGGGTTCTAACCTGCACCCTACGGCATTTGTAGAACAAAGGCCTTCTTTTAGGTGGTGGATCTTGTCTTCATACCAGCTTAACCTCGAACCGTGAACCTGCAGACAGTGTTTGGTGTTGCAGGAGGGAGGCTTTGCGTTCAGATTCGCCCTCAGGCTCCTTAGAACCTCCGTGCTACATAAGTTGAGACATGGCCCCCAACCCGTAGCGGGCTCTGAATCTTATACGCTACCCAAGCCCAAACCCTCCCCCAGAAAGACCATTACCCCCTTCTGAGCTTCAGGGTATACAACACGCGGGATGTTAGCCCTAAGCCTCGTAAGGGCCTCGTAGATTGGCCCGGAATCTCCGAAGGCTGACCCTTGGTGCTCTTTGGGTGTTTGCTGAGTCTGACGGTGCTTCAAACGACTTCTAAAGTCTTCCCTTTTTGAGGTCTTAGGTTCCTAAAGAAGCTACCAAATACCAAAAGAGACGCCCTTGTTGTTCCTACGGTTGATGATATAAACCCTGCATTACCTTAAGGACCCTAAACTATGGGAATGATGGTATATTCCTTATTATGGGTAATGCAGGATTTATATCATCAACCGTAGGTTGCTGGGGATCCTAGCAAGGGTTTTCAGCATTTGGAGTTTTGACTGTCGAGCGTTCTTGGAGCTTCAGTCTCCAAGCCCCCCCGACCCCCCGGGTCCTGGTATCTATAGGAACATGGACTCTCAGTGACTGTTTACCCAGAGGGTCCATATACACTACTATTATGGAATTAGGCCCTAAAAGACCATGCCCATTATGGTTTTGGGGACCTAATTCCATAATAGTAGTGTATATGGACCTTCCGGGTTACGTACCAACACAGAAGAAAGTGCGGCAGGCACTATATATCGCAATGGTATCCCCAAACGGCCCAAAACCTCAAACCCTAAATCCTAAACCCTAAACCCATTGCAGCAGGCACCATAGTTCGCAATGGTCGCCCTCAACCTTAAACCCTAAACCCCAAACCCATTGCAGCATGCACTATATGTCGCAATGGTCACCCTAAACCCTAAACCCATTGCAGAGGTATTGTACTTCGCAATGGTAACCCTGAACCTTAAACCCAAAGCCCTAAACCCAGTGCAGCAGGGACTACACTTCGAAACCCTAAACCCAAAGCACAGGCACTATACTTCGCAATGGTAACCATGTCCACGGTGGGTTTCGGAGACTTGTCCCCGTCGGCCGCTTTGTTGCACTTCAGGTTTTAGTGTTTGCAGATATGAGACTACCCATAGGCTCCATGGCCAAAAGGAACTACTATGGACCCCTTAGGCAGAGTTTAGTGGTTTGGGGCCGCGCTTTAGGGTTTCCGGGTTTGGGTTTTCGATGATTGAAAGTTAGAGTGTACCTAGACCCCCCAAAGTAGGTAAAATAATGGCCCAAAGCCTATAAACGGCTGTTATTATACATACTTTCAGGGTCCAGGTAGTCTTTTGCGGTTCAAGGCTTCCGCTTCAGGGCTTGGGGCTTCGGGGCTCAGCACTGCGAGCCAGCGCTTTTGCCGCACCGTAAATGTGCTATCTAGTTTACCCAGACCCCCGGGAGATCCCCTAATTTGGGGCCCCATACTACTAAGGGTACTTTATAGGAACCCCAATTAAGGGATCTACTTTTTGGATCCTCCCGGGGGTCTGGGTAGAAGTATGACACTACAGGCTTTACGGCAGTGACGGCCAACTCAATCATGGATGCCGGCACAACTTCGCGGCACCACTTTGTCGTAGGGTCCAGGGACTAGGTTTTAAGATTCGGTTCGATGTTTACGGACTGAGGATGTGGGTCGAAAGCCTAGCGGTTTAGGGTTTAGCGTTTAGGGGTTCAGGGTTTAGGGGTTTAGGGTTAAGGGTTCGCAATCCTATCCCCCGATGAAAGCCGGAGCATGTATCAAGTGCCTAAATCATAAAACCTCCGTCGAGTTACAGCGAAACCGTTAAGCCTCGAGACCCAAACCCGTAGTAATTCCTGAAACCCTAGTTAATCCCAACTTTCGAAACGGCTACACCATAGGCCGGTAAATAGGTAAACCTTCAACCCTTTGTCAACCAAAAGGAACTTTATCCGGGCTATTAATTTTGGTTCCAAGGCTGTCGCGAGGTCTCCCAAGCCGCATATCGTGCGGCATTCAATAACAGAAGAGGACGCTAATGGGTGTGATTTAGGCACCCTTGTTTTGAGGATCGTCGTGTTGGCGGTTCTGTAGTGGGGTCCCCTATGCTCTAACTAAATCTCATATGTGTCAGGTTTGCCGGTTTAAGATCTCAGGTACCAACTGGTGAGCCCATCATCAATAAGCCTATGTTTCCAACGACCAAGGACCTTATGCTCAGGCCCTAGACCCATTAATTAATTAAGGACCCAATAATGAGGTCGCTGGAAGCATAGGGTGATCGTTCCAGATTGCCCAATTTAATGCGCCAGGCAACGCATGTTGACCTTCGCCGCCGTCTGAAGTAGAGTGAGGGTCCCCTATGAGCCCCTGGACTAAAACTCTGAACCCCTAAATCTCCTAAATCCTTAAATTTTAAACCCTTAAAAATACCCTGAACCCCTAACCACTTAGATCCTAATGTCCTGGAGGTTTATAGGTTTCGATGTACAAGCTTGGACCGCGGAGAAACTGTGAACGGCAGTGGGCTCGGAAGTCCGTACCTTAACCTCCCAGCACCCGACGTTTTTCGTAGGTGCCTTTTACAGTCGATAATAGATTTAATTAACAGCTATTAATATCAATATTCTAGTAATATCAAGATCCATGTGCATAGTCATGTTGATACTGATAAAGCATAATGTTCATAGAAGCTTGCTGCAGAAAAGGAGGTGATGGTAGCTTAAGGTACCCGAAGCAGACTGAGGTGTGGTACTCCCAGATGGTCACGGTGTTCTTCATCCTCGTAGGCATCAGCGTCGTCTTCGCACAGCTGGGGAACTGCGTCACCTCGATTATCGAGCCAGTGCCATGGCACGAATTAACCAGGACCCAGAGTTGGCCCTTATTCCCTGGTTTAGGCTCTCTTATCACCCCAATTAACCTAAAAAGGGCCCCTTTTATTAATGAGGTACGCTTGGGTCCAGTTAAAACATCAGGGGTTTGAACAAAGGGGCTACGGGCAAGGTAGCTATTGTCATATTTGGATTGAAAAGCCGAGTGTACTTAAACTTGCTAGCTCCCCTGATCTACCAAGTAGAGGACGGAGGTGTCTGGGAGGTACTCTGTCTATGGAGATCGACTTCCAGCCCTTTTGCGATCTTCTAACAGTACCGCAGAGCAACATGACTACACTGTAAGTGAGTACAGTACACCACGGCTGACATCCACGCCAATATGGATGTGGACCCGACAGTGCCAGCAAAGGCATTCATATGCCAAACACGAGTGGCGTTACATGGTGCAGTATATCGCAACATGGGACTGTTGCGCTGAAAGTAGTGCCCTGAAGCAAGCAAGTACATGATGTGACGCACATTAAAGGCTCCAAGTGTAAATGGTAGCTACGCCGTGGGCTCTGTTGTCGTCTAGAAGTCTGCAATCGTAACATAGGGGCCGTAATAATTAGAATGTGGTTTTGGGGGCCCATTATACTATACTTATAATAAGGAGCCTCCAAATAGTATAGGTAATAAGGTCCCCTATAGTACCTGCGTTGTTCTGTTCGGGAGACTTTAGAGCAGGCCACTAGGCCCCCGAGTGGGCCTTTTGATCCCTTTTTGTAGTCCTAGGTTCCTTATAAAGTTACTCGATACCAAAAGGGAGCACTTTTTCTTCCTAGGTTACTGGGCATCCTAGACCAGTCAAATTGAAGGGGTCTTTTTCAGGATCTTTGGGAAAGACTGAGCATTACAAGTTTCAATCCGAAATTGAAATGTTTCGGGTTGGGCTGCAACCGACCTCAAACCCCCAAGCCAGTGAATCCCACCCTAAGCCCACGGATCTTTGCCCCGAGCACTTTTTCGAAGATTTGCCTTAAGCCCGAGACCGTAGCAAAGACAGTGTCCTTTCTGTCAAAGGGTACTGAGGCCATCTTCCCGAATTGCTCAACACCGTACCCCGATGGCTTGATCATAGTAGTGACAATGACAGAGACGTTGCAGTAACAACCATGATAAAGGGAATGTTCACCATCTTTTCTGCGGGTAGCGCGGTTGGACTAATCAGGGGTTTCTACAGCCGGCTACCGGCATACCTTGAAATCCCAAAGCGCCAAACCCGCACCAGAACCCTACACTCAACCCTCAAATCCTAACTCGAAAGGAACCCTCTAAGCCCTTAGTCAGCCCCAAGCCCTGAACCCCATAAACACCTTCCTTCCGAAGCAGCCGAGACGTTTAAACTATCGCGGAACATCTTCGAGCGATGTGTGCCGAATCAATACATTGACATCTCTGGGAACCTTGGCGGCTCCAAACTTTCGGGTTCCTTTATTAAGGACCACTATAGAGTTCCTTCCAGGGTACTATGCGGTTTAGGGTGTAGGATGAAGGGCCGTGGGATTTAGGCCTTCCTGGACGTCAAAGACGTCGACAAACATAGCCGCTACTATAGCGGCCTTAACAATTAGCTATACTATGTTGGGGGTTCCTGATAGTCTAACCGTTTGTATTGGAGGAGCTAAGGAGCCAGGATGATGACCATGCCTACTTACTTAATAAAGAGCGAAAGAGCCGAGGTAACCCCAAAACCACTGCTTACTTGGAGGGTCGGGGGACTTAGTAACTGGTTATTTTAGGGACTTATAAGTACCATAACCCCAATTAGGGTCCCATTTAGGGTACTTATAAGTCTAATTACTACCTACTTACTAAGTCCCCCGACCCTCCAAGTAGTAGGTATAACATAGCATCCTCCCCCCAAACCCCCATTCTAATTTATAAGGCCCGCATATTACGAGCTCTGCAGGCCTCAGCGAGACTCCTACTCGGAGGTTCAGGGGTAGCTGTAAGTTGGGTTATAAGTAAGGTTTAGGGTTTCAGGGTTCAGGGTTTAGGGTAACTATAAGTATAACCCATATTAGGGGACTTATAACTACACTTGGGTGGTTGTCAAAATTATGCTCCCTTTTGGGGTCCCTATTATAGTACGATACCTAATATTTAGGGTAATTACCCACAAAGGAACCCTAATTTTGACAACCACCCACTTTTAACTACCCATGAACCTCCAAGTACTGCCCCCGTACAACCCCAAACCCTGAACTCCAATCTGCGCGCTACAGCCTCGAACCTTACCCAGACCCCCCAACTGGGCTTTGGAGTACCATACTTTAATGTTCTTTTGGGGACCTGTCACTTAAAGGGAATCAGTATGAAACAAAAGCCTAGATTTTTTCTCCCTGCTTACTTCAAAGCCAAGTCAAAGTAGGTAAACTAATGGCCCAAAACCTCCTAACAGGCTAGTAGTCTGCATACTTCCGGGGTCCAAGTAAACCCTATATATAATCCCCCAAACTTGAACCCAAACCCTGCGCTCCAACCTGCCCCCTTACCCAAAGGGTCCAGGTAGTCCGTATATTTATGGTTTTTGATGCCTAAAACGGCCCTAAAGTCCCATAACAGGGAGTACTTGGAGCCTATGGGTACAATTATAACTACTATTACTACCATTCTTCCATTCCCTACTAACCAAAGGTAAGCTTAAACCCTACCTAGGCCCCCAAAAAGTAGGTAAAATACTGGCCCAAAACCTATAAAAGGCTATCCTGCCCCCTTAGAGCCTCAAGCTCTTCCTTTCTTTGGTTGATTTTGAGGGACGGCATCCCGGACTTTCAGGCGGGGACACTGGCTCAAGCTTCCAATTGGGAGTTTCCTAAAATGGGACCCTAGTATAGTCTTAGGAGGGGTACCTCAAATTATAATTTTTGCTAGGGTTCCAAAGTTCAGTGTAGTTCCATTTGGGAGTTTCCTTACCTTAACCCCAAGTAACCTACCTTTTTCACGACTTATATAACGAAATCATATTAGGGAACCCTAAAAAGGCAGTTTCCTTAGGGTGCAGGTACACCCCAAAGCTACTCGAAGCAGTGAGGGAGTTTCCGAAATAGGGGACCCTACTATAGTACCCTAAATAGTGGGATCCTAGTTAGAGGACTCCAACACAAGGTACCCCCCCCAATTTTCGGAAATCCGCATTTGTCTCTTCAGTGTTTTTCCCGGAGTTGATGATTGCTTCTCGGTGAATCTCGAAGAAGCATATATGTTGCTGGCATTCTAGAATCTAGAAGAGTAGAATTAGGGTAGTTAGTGTCGTCAGGGACTTACATACCACTATGGGCTATTAGACCTTATGGGTACCTTAATCTACCCTTAATAGGGTCCTAATAGGGATCTTTAGGGTCTAATAGCCCATAGTGGTAGGATCCTTTTGTGTCGAGGGCTAGAAATTTCACAGCCATGATGTAGCAGGTTACGGGTCGGTGTCTAGTGGCGTCATAGTGCTTACTACTATTTGCTTAAGAAACCACCAAAATAAAAGTAATAATCCCTATATTACCCCTATAAGGAATATATTTTTTATTTTTGGGGGATTCTTAAGCAAATAGTAGCTTAGGATTGAAGGTTGTGGGTGCAGAGCTCAGGATGTGGGGGTGACAGTCGTTATAGGTTGGTTTGGGGTTGTTCTTAAAGTGTTGTGTCCGAGTTGGCCCTATAGCACTAAGGGCTCAGTCGCATAAGTAAGGCAGATTCCTTAGATGCTTAACAAGCAGCTCCTTATCCTGATAGCACTATGTGGGTCCTATGCCCCAGAGTCTGCTCTCGTGGTGGTTGCAAGAAGCCCATTCTTAGGTTACTTTATAAAGCTACCAGGTTACTGGGGACCCTAGAAATAGTGGTAGCACAAGACATAATAATGGTAATTGTAGCTTCAACCCCAAAGCCCTAAACCCCGCATTTCAAGAGCACGAAGCTCTCGATATGGCAAAGGCCGCTGAAATGAAAGGTTATCAGCCCATCAGCCCAGATGCGCGCACATCGCCGATCGCTGCCGTGGACCACGAAGAAGCTTCTCAGCCTTGTGCTTGAGGGGTAACGCCCAGACCAGGCCATTACCACGTCCCGCGATGGCCAGAGCCGCTGAACCTCAAGCTGAGAAAACCTTTTGATCTTCGCCGTGGTGGAGCAGCTCCGCTGCTTGCGGGCAACGGTCCGACGACAGAAGCACAAGCCCTGGAAATTCTTCCGAAGCGGAGCAGATCACAACAACGTCCGCACAGCATCGTAAAGCGTATCTAGAAATCCTGAGCACCTTCCTTTTTAAGGACTTTCCTTGGAAGTTCATAATGAGGAACCCTGAAAAGCAAGGTTCTGTCGGGCCCGGATAGGTCCCTGCGATGTGAAGATGCACTTCGAATGTAAATCAACATCTTGAACAACGCCCAGAAAGCAATCTTTGGGTGCAGACCCTTGCAAAACTATAAGCCCCTCTGTATCCCAGTGAGAACATGTATGAGGGCTCCCTCCATATGTCAACAGGCTGACCTTGCTTGGTCTCTGGGCTGCCTCGCCATCTTGTGCTTGAGGGTTCCCGAACATAACCATACTCCGAACCTTTTATCTAATTATGAAGATCTTTGTATACCCAGAGGGTCCAAGTACTCCCTAGCATAGGACTTTAGGGCCGTTTTAAGTATCAAAAACCACACATAAGGACTACTTGGACCCTTTGGGATAGAGAACCCCTTCTAACTTAAACCGAAATCCTAGAACAATGTTTTCCAACAATCGCCAGAGGTGCCCAGGACACCTCTCATCCACTACTCTAAGAAGCTGGCAGGCCAGTGTTCGGGTGAAGTGCTTCAGATTTCAGGGTTTAGATTTCGGTCTCAGGGTTGCTACAGAGTTCGCTTCAGAAATCAGGTTTTGGGGTTTCGGTTTCAGGGTTGCTTCAGAGTTCCGCAGCTTTTGCCTTTAAACTTGACTGTTCTCTGCTTGTCGTTTGGGAACTTTCCCTCCTTGGGCTGCTGCATTACAGCCTGAAAGTTCAACGTTTAGCAGGGTTTAGGGTTTAGGGTTTAGGGGTTTAGGGTTTAGGGTTTAGGGGAAGTCAAGTCAACCATAGCAGTTTGTATACAAAGGCCTGAAAGACCGTCACTATGAGGGAGAAGCTTAACCTCCAATAGCCACCATCTCAATTACATATGGGTGGTTGTCAAAATTATGATCCCTTCTTGGGTACCCTAAATGTTAGGTGCCGTATTATATTAGGGACCCAAAAATGGACCATAATTTTGACAACCACCCATATATGATAAGCAACTCGTACTACAGAACACCAAGAGGTTGGTGTTGCGGGCTTCAGGTAGTAAACAAGAAGCTTGCATAACTACCGCTATGGGTTTCCGAAAGTTTCTGCATTACAAGTATACTCCATACTAGGCATTGAGGCCCTGTAGAAATTTTAAACTCCACAGCCCTAAATCCCTCATAGAACTCTTTTGGCAACCTTTTAAAAGCACGATTCTAATGACTGCGGCATTTGTTGATGGAATTTGGCCTATCTGGGAGTCCCAGAAATCCAAAGCCCAGAAGGCGTGCATCAGCGCAGCCGACGCCAGCGTTTGTTGTCTCGGGTTGAGGGCTTACGTTTCTGGGTTGTGGGTTTACTGTTTAGGGTGTCTACCTTATTCTATCATAACCTGCTTGTTTGTGTGGGTTCTTTTTAAAGCCCTTGTAATTGACATGAGTTTATCGGGACCCTACAAGAAGTAGATTTCGAATTCGGTAGGTCAAGGCAGTGTCCAGCTTAGGCCTCCCATTCGGTGAGATTGTCACATAGAGCTTCTTGTCCGGTGGTCGACGGTTTAGGGTTTGGGTCTTAGGGTTTCGAGTTTCAGAATATTCCCAGGTATTTCTTGGCAGGCAGACTAGTAGCCCGGTGGCCCGGACTTAGTAGCATCCCTGACTTACTTATCGATTCTACAGAAACTCACCCTCGCTCGAAACAACAACCTAGTAGTCGCGTAGGTAACCTTTAACCTTTTTTGGGTAGGATAGTCCCCATGTAATCCCCATATAACCAAAAAGGTTAACCTTCAGTTCCCCATGATACCCTAAACCCCTAAACCCCTAAACCCTAAACCCCTAAACCCCTAAACCCTAAACCCCTAAACCCTAAACCCTAGGAGAACCTTGGATCTGGCAGGGCCAATCGTGATACTGCTTGCCTTCCAGCTGGTTTCTGCGGCCATTTTCGCACTCGACGCTCCGCTGCAAGCCCCACCAGAATGTCGGTATTCGTTTGAAGGTAACTCTAAGGCCTTAAGGTCCAAAGGACCTAAAAAAACATAGGTACTTGAGTTTACAGTAGCAGTATGTAGGCATTGGTTAATGTTTGGGAGAGTTCTGGCGACTAGGCACTTGGACCCCCCAAAATAAGAGAACCCAGACAGCCCCAACACCCGCTTACTCAAGATACCATGACTAAGTTTTTGATCCCCTACATGCAGGCTTCAGTAAATTGGGGGTTTCCTTTTGAACGGTTGTTGAAATAAGGGTCTAGGGTGCCACGTGAGGGCTCCCTATCATTACTCTTTTCTGTAATTGAACCTCTTCTGTTGGAGCTCTTAATTCGCCTTAAGTCCTTCGTGGTCCCAGCGCAGCTTTAAGTTTTGTGTCTCTCAGAAGTTCGTCTTATTCTGAACCCTAAATTCCCTAAACCCTAAAACCCTAAACCCTAAAACCCTAAACCCTAAACCCTAAAACCCTAAACCCTAAACCCAAGTTTCAAGTGCTAGTCCCTTGGGTGTCGGATTATCAAGCGACCCAAGCACTTCTCTATACTCAAAGGGGAAAAGGAGGGACCCTTAATGGGGACCCCTACCCTATAGTGGGCTATAAAATGGGTATATGATAGCTATATTAAGGATATATACCTAGGGGTCTACTAGGGGTCCTTCTTAAGGGTCCCTCCTTTTACCCTTGGATTGTAGTCATGAGGATAGGGGCCCGAACCAATAATAAGGCCCCTCAAAACACTAACCACAAAGAACTATATATCCTCAACCCAATTCTTGTCATAGTTAGGCAGCAGTTTACAGAGTTGTAGCTACTTAAGCTCAAGAAGGGATAGGACGGCTATTACTCCAATGATGAACTGTTGTAAATATCTGGCTATCAGATACGTTAGACCATAAAGCTTCTAAAGCCCTAAGGGTCCATGTGCCCAAATAGTATATACTTGGGGCCTTAATGTAGTAGTCCCTATGTAGATACATTGGGCCCAAAGTATATATTATTTGGGTACATGGACCCTTAGGGAATTAAATGCCATACAAGACAGTATAAAGCCAGTATAGCCTGCCCAGCGAAACCCTTCCAGCTGGGACTCATAAAGAACATTTATGGGACACCCCTCAAGGGGCAACCCTTGCAGACAGCCTCATAGAACCCCAGAACTCTTTCAAGGGACATATGCTAGGTATGATTGCCTAAATCCTAAACCGTAGCAGAATTCAACCCTAGACTTTAAATCGCGAGCCCTACACCCCCAACCCTGAAACCTGAAATAAAGCCATCCTGGAGGATCATGGGACTTAGTAAGAAAGGTTATAAGTACCTGACTTGGGGTTCTAAGTACTTATAAGTAGAGCCACCTCAAGTAAAACCCGAGGCACTAAGTCCCGTCCCATGATCCCTTAAGCAGATTCTACAGCCCCCGATATCAGGTGGAGCCCGATGTCTTTGACTTCGGACTCGCTTTCTGGTGCCTCCAACCGAAGCGCGCGAGGATTTCAAGATAAGTAGAAGCATGGTTCGGTTTGTGTTTGCATATATATATATATATGTATAAATACATACATACACATATATATATATATATATATATATATATATACATATATATATATATATATATATTCATCTGCTTAACTCGTGCATACATACATGGGTATGCATATTACAGATGTATATATCTATATATATATATATATACATCGATGTATATGCACCTGTGTACATACATGTATAGATGGATGGCTATGAGGACACGTAACTGTATAGAAATATGCTTATGTAGATGCATAGATATAGGTATCTGTATATCAATTGCAATGCATATTACTTGTGTTTGGCTATGTGCGCCTGCATATTTGCATATATATATATATATACATATACATACATATATACATACATATATACATACATATATATATATATATAGAAAAAAGCATTGCGTCTTACGCCATTTTTGGATTTTACAGGACTTACCATGTTCTTAGATTGATTGAATTCTGTCGATAAGGGTTGTTCGAGCCGTTGTCAGAAGCGAGCCTCAAAGCTTGCGGGAGTTGTGAGTTTTCAGGCCGAAGATATAGGGTTTGGGGTTTCGAATTGTGGGTTTGGGTTTTGATGTTCCGGGCTTAGAGCTTGGATTAGGACTAAGGGTTTACTGGAGTTTTCGGAAGGGGAGGGTCGAGATCTTGTACAGGATTTAGGGGCATTGGAGCCGTAGGGGTGCGGAGGTGTAGAGTGTAGAGTCTTGCGGTTTAGAAATTCTTGCTACGAATGTCGTTTTAGTTGCCTGACAACAGGGATCTACAGTAAATCAGCTGCTTTTCTTCTTATGGTAGCTGCAGTTACATTCCGAAACCCTGACCCCCCATAAAATCCACAAGAGGAACCCTGAATCAGTTTAGGGCTGAGCGGTTCGGAATTCGAGAGATTACTTAGAGGATCATGGGACTTAGTAACTAGGGTTATAACTAGGGTAACTATACGTATAACCCCAATTAAGGTACTTATAACCTTACTGACTAAGTCCCATGAATTCGAGAGATTAGGAGCTTCAGAATTTGCTCATGGGACCTCCTTAAAGCAGAGGGTTTAGGGCTCAGGGTTTAGGGTTTAGAGGCTGGGGGATCTATAAGGGTACTATCATAATGTAGGCACCTGATTAAGAAACCTTGGGTTTTTTTTGGGGGGGGGTTCTTTAAAGGGGTCTATAAGGGATCCAAAGGGGTATATACTATAACTATGTAGGAACCTGATTAAGGAGCCTTGGGCCTTATTAGGGTTCCTTAAATGAATCCTACTTTTTTGGGGGGTTATCGGCCCAGGGTTCTTGATCAGGTTTCTACATTGCATACATGCTATATGGGTACATGGACCCTTCGGGTCACATCTCCTACACTTTTGCCCTATAGGCTTCGTGACCCTGGAGCGTCAATCCGGACTCCCGAACTTGAATCGCAAACCCCTGCACCTGAATCCCGAAACCTGGTCTCCGAAGTTAGTGACCCCAAAAGGGCCTAAGCATAACCATTTTTACAGGGATATCCCTACCCTATTGGGCTTCCTTATGAGGGGGTTCACGTGGGATATCCCTATCCGATGTTTTGCTTATGTGCTTGTTTGCGGCCATGTATAGAGGTACGTCATGGTGACGGCCACGACGGTAGGCCCGCGGCACGGAAATCCGCCGGTGTTCTCGGCCCTTAACCTGAACCCTAAGCCTTAAATCGTATTGTTCAAGGTCTAGGGTTTCGGGTAGCGTTTGTGGGTTTTGAAGCAGAAGCTTGAGGGTAAGGCTTGGGATTTAGGGTCCGTGGCTGTGGCAAAACCAGCACCACTAAACCTCAACTCCCAAAAGTCCTTTGAACTGTATGGAAGCGGTTTAAAATTGGGTTGACGTGGGTCCCCAAATTATTGGGCACTGTATGCAGAGCAGAATTTTAGGAAATTGCAGGGTGTCCACCAAAAAGAAATTAAGTTGACGGCTACCACATGCCTACTTGGATCCCTGGGGCCCAACTGACCACGATCCACTTCCAACTTTTCCAGCCTTGTGGAATCTCAGTTACCCATATGGGAGTTTCCGAGAATAGGGGACCCTAATCGGAACCCTCAAAGGATCTTTCTAACTTTACCCCTAATTTTCGGAAACTCCCTTATCGTGGGTTACTGTGGCTTGATGCCTCGTCAAAGCGCCAGCATACACCTGGCCCGGGAACATGCTAACTCTGTGCCGCGGTCTTCCAAGCACACGCTCCCTGAACGTTCGCAATATCCCCCGGTGCATGTTTTGTGAGTGTTTAGAGCTTTAGGCCCCGAATGCCCAGACCTTCCAATTTAAGGAACACGTACCTTAAATTATACTGGGGATCCTGCTATACTTTACGGTCTATTCCTCAATTAAAGGATTTGTAACGTCTGGGTATCATGCTGCAAATAGTGCTGCATCCCACAACTGCATTAGTTGGGTATTCGGACCTGCAGAATACTTAAACCCGAAATCCTTTTAGAACTCTTATGGAATCCTGCAGAGAACCCTTTAAGGAACCCTTTTCATCATTAAACCCTTAAAGAACTATGAAAACATCCTTTAGCCAAAGCTTTAGTAGGAACACGACGAACCTGGCCATAGTACCTTAAGCCCCCTATAAAACTTTATACAACCCGTATAGCCATAGCTCTTTTGTATGAAGGAACACAGCACCCTGCGTTTGCAGGCTTTGGCGACATCTCTGCCGAAAGTACGGCTGGGCGGATCTGGGCGATCCTGCATCTTTGCTTCATATAGAGGCCTTTATAATCTCCTTACCTATACTATTTTGGTGGTTGCTCATTATAACTACGTATAGTATATTGGGCCCCCAAACCATAGTCTATTTATTAAGGCGCCCATATGTTCGCCGGAGCTGCCCAACAGGGCTCCACGCGACCATAGGGTCCATAGACACTACCGGGGACCTTAGAACCCAGACGCCCGGCCCTAGACACCCATACAGGGATCCTTTAAGGGCTCCTTGGAGGGTTCCGTTAAGGGCTCTATAGGGTTTAGGGTTTAGGGTCCATATATACTCCTATGATGGAATCAGGTCTCAAAACCCCCCCAAAAGGATGGTCTTTTGGGACCTAACTCCATAATAGTAGTAGAGATGGAGCTTCTGGGGTATATACTTAGGCATGAAAGGGGCTGCTTTTCTGGTTATTTACCATCTGGGTACAGCACCTGAACCACAAACCATCCGTAACCTTCAGCGACAACAAGAGAGCGTACCTGCTAGAAGAGCTCCCTGAATGTATGGACACCAAGAACCCAGGTTCCTGCACATTGGACCGTGTCCCAATACCCCATCTGCATTTTATTGAATACCCTCATGACAAAAAATACCAGAAGAAGCCCAAAGCCTTATTCTAATCATTAAGGACCTTATGGTAGATACCTGAATTATAAACATACTATAAGGAGCCCAAAGCCCTATTCCAATCATCAAGGCCCTTGTAGACAGAGGAATCCTGTCGTCCTTGATTCAGAGACTTCGGCGTCCCGGATTCATGAACAGTCCAAGCAAGCACCACACTTCAGCTTCTCTCTGGTTCCTAGTAGGGACTGGGGGAATGGATCCCTCTGAAAATCCCAAAAGGTCCCCTGTAGTAGTCCCAATAACCCATTCCCCCATTCCCTACTAAGAACCAGACAGGTTTCCTCAACCTGATTGACAGGCCAGTCTACCCTAAACCTAAAGACTAGAAACTACGAACACACATATTCTGGGCTTACTTTGGATGTTGGCATGACCTGGAAGTCATGCTGCAAATCTACGGTTTGCTGGCTGCTCTGAACGCCGTTATTGGCAGGGGGTGGTTCAACCCTAAGCCCTAAACGCCGAGGCATATTCTGCTTTCCGTTTGCCTGTCGCCCGTCAGCACAGAACGGTTTCCTTCAGACATTGGCACTGAGTTTTCTGAGAGGGTCCCATCACCATTTCAAAGTGCTTGAACGCGCTAAGTGTGGGAGGCAGTTGTTCAAGAAATCCTTCTTCTGCTTGTGAGGCCACATGCCCGAAACCCGGCACCTTACATGAAGTCACATGGAAGGGCTTGCATGCGGAGTACAATCCTCTAGCGGACGGCCCCTTCATCGGATCTACAATAACAGGTCGGAAAATTCGGTGCCACTACCCCCCTGACAGCCCCTAATCGTCTGTTCCTTGAGAGAAACCGAAACCACCAAAACCCACGAAGCCAGAACTCCTAATGTAAGGATCAAATAATCAGTACTGATGTCCCTTTATACCGCCTTACTTGTCCACATACATATAAACACATATTACTAAAAAACCAACACAATACATCGACACAGTAATTAATCGAATGTCTACATACATATCTAAACATATTTACTATGGATTATCAACAATGCACCGAAATTCTATTCGAATTATTCAAGCCCCTACCCGCAAACCTCCCAAAGCACTCAGAACTCTTCTTCTAGAACCCTCACAACCTGTATTCTGGAACCCTGTTATAGAACCCTAAGATAGCCTGATCCCGAAGCCCCAACCGCCAGTCCTTAAAGTCCTATCTACAGTCCTATATACTTACACTACAGTACAAGACCTCACATACCCTACTCCCAGTATGAAGCCACCCTTAACCCCGAATCCTTAAGCCCTCACAGCAACCGCCTTTTAGTAATTTTTGGAGCCCTCTCAACAGAGGCCGGAAGGCCCACCAGACCACTGAAGCTGCACCCTAAGCACTCAACCCTCAACACTAAACCCTGAACCCTACCTGGAGGTTCATGGGTAGTTATAAGTGGGGTTATAAGTAGGGTAAGTAGATTTATAACCAATATCAGCGGACTTGTAGCTCCACTTACCACTGCCCATGAGCCTCCAAGTAAACCCTGAGGCTTGCAGCGCTTATCGGGGACTTCGGGAACCTCTACGAGGAGAGAAAAAGCTTGCTCCTCGCCTCGCAGAGAAGCTTTGTAGGGTTCCTTTCAGTTAAGGAACCCCTATAGACCCCGTTAAAGGACCCCTTATACATCCCTTCAAAGGACCCCTTATAGATCCCTTTTAAAGGACCCCTTATAGATCCCTTTATAGGGTTTTGTTTGTTTTTTATGGGATCCCTTTAAAGGACCCCTTTATAGGATCCCTTTAGAGGTCCGATACCTCAGGGTGTTCTGCTCAGGGTTCCTTTGAGGATTCGTTAAAGGGTTCTATGAGGGGCTCAGAGTTGGGGAGTTGGGGAAACCTGTGTAAAAAATGAGAAAACCTGCAAGCGTAGGGTTCCTTATAGAACCGGCAGGCTCTTTAGGGTCCAGGTAGGCTATAGGGTGGGCCGCAGACCCCCCTGAATCCTAAAACCTAAGCCCTACACCGACAGGGTTTTGGGTGTTGGAAGCAGACAAGTTTTAGGCTTGCTTACGGGGCTGTGCGGGATGCCAATCAAAAAAAAACTTTTTTCAATCAACACAAAAACTTTTTTCAATCAAAAAAAAATCCAATCAAAAAAAAACTTTCCCTTATTAAAGGAAGCACGACAGGAAGGAAGGAAGGAAGGAGGGAAGGCAGGAAGAAAGGCAGCAAGGAAGGATGGCGGGAGGGAAGGCAGGAAGGAAGGAAGGAAGGAAGGCGGGGAGAAAGAGCGAGGAAGGAAGGAAGGAAGGAAGGAAGCAGGAAGCAAGGAAGGAAGCAAGGCAGCAAGGAAGGAAGGCAGGCAGGCAGACAGGAAGGAAGGCCGTACTACTACTACTACTACTACTACTACTACTACTACTACGACTACTACTACTACTGCTACTGCTACTGCTACTACTACTATTACTACTACTACTACTACTACTACTACTACTACTACTACTACTACTACTACTACTACTACTACTATTACTATTACTATTACCATCACTATTACTATTACTATTACAATTACTATTACTATTACAATTACTATTACTATTACTATTACTATTATTGATACTATTACTATTATTATTACTATTACTATTATTATTACTATTACTATTACTATTACTATTACTATTACTATTACTATTACTATTACTATTACTATTACTATTACTAGTACTAGTACTAGTACTAGTACTAGTATTAGTACTAGTACTATTACTATTACTATTACTATTTCTATTACTATTACTATTTCTATTACTATTACTATTACTATTACTATTAGTATTACTATTACTAGTACTATTACTATTACTATTGCTATTACTATTACTACTATTATCATTACTATTACTATTACTACTACTACTACTACTACTACTGCTACTACTGCTACTACTACTACTACTACTGCTACTACTACTACTACTACTGCTACTGCTACTGCTACTACTACTACTACTACTACTACTACTACTACTACACATGGAGAAAGTTTTTTTTGATTGGAAAAAAGTTTTTTTGATTGGTGAAAAAGTTTTTTGATTTTCGCTGAAAGTTTTTTTTGATTGAAAAAAAATTTTTTTGATTGGTTTCCCGGGCTGTGCTGGGTTTGAAATATGGGAGGCCCACGTGTTAGGGCTTTGAGGCTTCCTTTAAGGGTTCCTCTAAGGGCTCCTTTAAGGGATCCTTTAAGGGCTCCTTGATGGCTTCCTTGAAGGGTTCCGAGGGCTTTTCATTGGCCTCTATGTAGTCCCCATCTATGTACTTTAGGGTCCAAGTATAGTCTTTATGCCTAAATCCAATAGAACACTTATAGAAAACCTGCAGAACTGTAGAACCCTTATAGTACCCTCAAGAGCAACCCGTAAACGCTCGATGCAGACCCCTAAACCCTAAACTCACAACCCTGAAGTCTAAAACGCCTAAACGTGTAGCTCAATGAAGCCAAGGGTGGAGCGGGCGTATCACTTCACCAGAAGCTACGACGAGGACCGACGACAGGGTTCTCCTTGAATGGGGGTATTTAGGGTTTAGGGTTTCACTTGATAGGCCATTGGGTGAGTGCACAGGGTTTTCGGTGGATTCTCGTAGGGGTTTTCCTATGAAAGGCTGGAGCAGTGACTCGGGCATTGACTGGTACATGCAAATGACAGGATATCTTTTAGCTTTGGGTTTACGCACCTCTTTGCTTGTCCTAGCTGTGCTCAAAGGATGCGGGGACTTCGTAAAGGGTGCAAAAATCAGGTAACTGTAGCCCGCCCGACTAAAGGAGAAAGACGACATGCCCCAAAGACGAAACTTGCATGACATATCAACCGTATTGTTCCAATCACACAGGCCCTTGCCGTAAGCCCATTCTACGTCAACAATGCTACAACACGTTCATCTAATTCAATATACCTCTCCATCATCTGCACCTTACTAGATCCTGCATCGAGCGGTCCTGAAAAAGCAACCTAATCCATGTTCCCAAGCTGGCTCCGTCAACAACTTTAGTGAGGTGTCTCTGCGGAGCTTGCCTCAAGGAGTAAGGGATACTGTAGGGGCCTTGATAATTATAATAGGGTTTTGGAGTAGGTTATAGTAAAGCCATAGCAAGGAACCCTAGGAAGAATATTAATAGCCATTTTTGGCTTCTACGTTACTGTGTTCATTATAAGTTTGCTAGAGGCTTGCGTTCGGGCTTTGGGCGTTCACAGCAAAGTTGACTCCGAGGATGCCAAGGATGTACGGGTAACTACATGGGAGTTTCCGAAAATTAGGGGTAACTTATTTGGGGTCCATATAATAAAGAGCCTACTATTTTGATTACTACTAGTATAGTAGGGTCCCCTATTATCGGAAACTCCTGTAGAGTATCTCGAAACAGTCTAGTCCCTAGAGAACCCTTCAGGCTCGTTGCAGCCATGGGGAAGAGTGTAGCAAATAATCCTAAGAACGGAGGCAAGAAGCAGCAACAAGACAGCAGAAAGAGAAGGATGTCATGAAGGCTGCGGTCAGAATGCAGAAGACATGGCAGCAGCAGATCCTGTCTGAGCTTATGAATTAGTTTGAGAGGCAGCCATCCGAGGCGTCCTTCATGTTCGCGAACATAAAGTCGGGGGGGCTCAGACATGGAGAAAGCGGAGGACGCGTCCGCGGTTGAGAAGCTTCCGCCACACATGAACAAGGTGAAGCTTCTGTCCAACGAAGTTTCCCTCGACATCATTGTGGAGTTGTCGCATACTTGGAGGATCATGGGACTTAGCAAGTAAGGTTATAAGTACCTTAATTGGGGTTATAGGTATAGTTACCCTAATTATAACCCTAGTTACTAAGTCCATGATCCTTTAAGTACCCCTAAACCCCCTTATAGAAACCTTACAGATCCCTTTTAAGGAGCCCCTTTAAGGAGCCCTAGTTACTAAGTCCCATGATCCTTTAAGTAAGCTTGCCGCCGAAGCTCTCTCAGAAGACCCAGAAGAGTCCGATCAAAAGCTAAAAGCTGCTCGGTCGCCGGGCCTTAAATCGGGTTCTTAAAGACGTACTTCAAGGCCAAAGCATAATATGGGTGGTTGTCAAGATTATGGTCCCTTTTTGGGTCCTTATTATAATGCGGCACCTGATATTCAAGGTACCAGAAAAGGGACCATGGTTTTGACATCTACATATGAACAGTATGGGTACATGAACACGCAGCGTGAGGGTGTGTGGCTTGGGATGCGGGTTGAGGTATTTGGATTTGGGGTTGGGGTGTTTGGCTTCATTCTCAAGATTGTAGATTGCTCGCTGATCCTAGAGCCCCAAAACAGTCGTTTCCCCCAGTAACTATCACCCCGAACATACGTCTCAACCTTGAGCCCAAAGGGTCCAAGGTACTGTTGTGGGGAATACCTTCCCGAATCATAGTAGTAATGAGTTCCTAATATAGAGACCCTACATTCTACCATATATAGGTGATTGGGTCTCTTGTGGGAGTCGAAGCATTAAAGCCCCAGGCCCAAAGCCTTAAACCTTGTGTAGTAGAATAGGTAGGCATTGACCTTTGCCGGCACTATACTTTCCCTGCAGAATTTCAAGGGTGAATCCTCAGTTCAACAAAACCCCTACACCCCTAAACCTAAAATCATGCTAGACAAGCAAGTGAACCTCTAAGAGCCCTGGGCCTCATAGTGAGGGTCTATAGGGTTGAGGTTTAAGGTTTAGGAGTTTAGGACTTATTAGGATTCAGCAGTTGAAGGCTGGGGGGCTTTGGGTCTATAGGGTTTAGGGTTTTAGGGGCTTTGGGTGTAGGTTTTAGGGTGTACGATCTTTCTTGTTTGGGTACGCGGCCTCCAGGAAGTCCTGGCAGCCCTGGATGAAGATGGCAACAAAATCATCGGAAAGCATGAGCGTCTCAGCTGGGATTAGGGTTTAGGGTTTAGAGGACAAGGTTTTCTGAAAAGTTTACGGTTTAGGAACGTCTTCTGCAGTATGATGGCCTTGAGCAGCCTCCATTTTTCATAGCCTTTCAACACGAGCTCAAAACGTATGGAAGCATGCAGCCCTGAGAGGCCCTTCTAGAACCTGAACCCTTGTGTAGCCCCTAAGAAAACGTTGCTTCAAACCCAAACCCTAGGCCTTAAACCCAAAACCTTGAGCCTTAAGCTTTAAACCCTACGCCCGAAAGCCTCAACCCTAAAAAGCCCTCAGCCCTAAACTTCCTAACGCCCAAAAGGCCATGTGGTTCATCCTCAGCATGAGAAAGCTTTGAAGACTTGTATCCAAGGGGAAAAGGAGGGACCCTTAAAAAGGACCCCTAGGTATATACCCTGAACATAGCTATTATATACCCATTATATAGCCCGTTATAGGGTAGGGGTCCCCATTAAGGGCCCCTCCTTTTCCCCTAAACCCCCAAAACCCCTAAACCCTGAACCCTTATAAAATCCCTATAGATCCCTTTAAGGGGTCCCCATTAAGGGTCCCTCCTTTCCCCCTTTGCTTGTACGATCCCTGAAACTGCTGTTTTCTGCCCCGAACCCTCCTCTTCCGTAAACCCCAAACCCGACTTGGAGGATCATGGGACTTAGTAAGTAAGGGTTCCTTAAAGGGCTCCTTAAAGGGATCTATAGGGTTTCTATAAGGGGATCTATAGGTTTAGGGTTTAGGGCCGTTTAGGGTCTACTTGGAGGATCATGGGACTTAGTAAGTAAGGTTAAAAGTCCTTTATTGGGGTTGTAAGTAGTTATAAGTCTGGTTGCCCTAACTATAACCCTAGTTGCTAAGTCCCATGATCCTTTAAGGAGACCTTAAAGCCCTAAAGCCGAAAGCGAGGTTCATCCTTGGCATGCTGAAAGAGACAGGGAAGCTGGACCAGATGGAAGACATTGCGCCCCTCGAGGTGCTTTCATTGTTGCTAGTCAGTATTGTTCGAGTATTCTAGTAGTAGAGTAGGTAACCTTTAACCTTTTTTGGGGTAGTATATTCCCTATATAAGTCCTTTATATCCAAAAAGGTTAAACTTTAGTACCCCATGATACCCGACAAGTCAAGTAGGTTGTTTTTCCGCACATCGCATGGTTGCAGTTGCTTTGAGTGTGGGCAAGCAGATGCACGGTTTGAGGCTTTAGGGTGCTAACCGGCGCATGTCATAGCGTAAAGGTCTCTCTGCCTCTTATCCCAGAGGGTCCATATACATTACTATCATGGAATTAGGGCACCAAAGCCATAATAGGGATGGTCTTTTCGGACCTAATTCCATAATGGTAGTGTATATGGACCCTCTGGGTATGTTGTTCGGAAATACTGTACCCTTCTTCTGCGTAGAGTAGTGCAGCTGGGCAAGAGTGTCTACCCAGCACTACGGCAGAGATGGAGTCGTGTGTTCCGTTCCTTTGCCTTTGTGTTCTAAGTCTAATGCTTTCAAAGGGCACATCTGTAGGTACTTTAAGGGCAAAGTATTTGAAAGACTGGTACTTGGACCGCCACTGCTGTCGGAGGGGTTTCTGGCGTTGCCGTAATGTCATCTCGAGATGGACCTGTAGGGTTGTCATAAGAGGATCCAGCATTAAGGGTCTATGCTTCTGAGTTCTAGTCGAAGGCTCTCTAGCGATGATTGACTTGGTTTGAGAGGCTTCATGGTGGTGTGCTTCGTCGCGCTCCTTACTTAACACAAGGTCTTGTTGCTTGAAGGTTCAAGTACCCATGCAAGCGGGACTTTCGATGCCCAAAACTATTCAGAAATCCAATATTGGGGCCGATTTGGTTCGTGTAGTAAACCGGCACCCTCAAGCCCTCAGCCCTAAAAATCCCATCACCCGATCCCTCAGCCCCGATACTTGCTTGGGGTGGAAGAGTTGCTGACCTGGGTAAGGGGCTTATCCTAAGAGAATTGGGGAGGCTTGGTACGTAAAACCAGCAAACACACGACAGGTTGTCCTGGTCAGATTCCTAGTGGTCCTTAAGCCTAAGCCGGGTGCCAAGTGTCTCGACAACAACGCCTGCATTTACAATCCTAAAGCCGCAAACCTAAAGCCGCAAACCTAATCACTACGCTCTGAGCCCCTAAAGGAGCCTTGAAAGTTTTAATATAAGGGCCTTAATTATTTCCTTTGCTATTGCGGGGCTCCTTATTATTTTTATAGTTACAGTATAATGGGTTTATGAAGGCCCCTATATTATATAGTACCCATATAGATCCCTTATAGTATCCCTTTAAAGGATCCCTTTAAAGGAAGCCCTATTCTATTTATTAAGGCCCCATACATTGGGGCTGCGGGTGCCAAAGTGCAGAGGCCCTCTACATTAAGCTGCTTTCGGTGCAGTCGGGCACATCGTCAGGCCCATGAGGGTTCCGAAGTCAGATTTTCGAGGGAGCCCTAAAGCCTAAACATTGCGAGGTATCGATGTGGGATGAATTTTTAAATTTCGTAAAATGCAAAAAATATAGAGCCCTTTCATACAGCCCCAATTATAGAAAAATATTGGCGGCTGCTGAAATCGACTCCCAGACTGGCATCCACAAGATATGTAGGGCCTTAGGTGTTTGCTTGGCTACGGGGACAAGGTTGAATAATGGAGTCGGAATAATTGTCCATGCCCTTCCTCAGGGTTCCTATTATGCAAAACTCTCCTCTAAGTATTCGGGCCGCTATATTCAGGCGTAGGGTTCAGGTTTGGGGTCTGGGTAGCTGCAAGTAGCACGATTTGGCAGGGTCGCTTGCCCAAAGACTCCAAAGCCGACAATCCCTTAAGTTATACTCGGAACCCTAATGTGATTTAAGGTATATTCTTTGCTCAAGGGGTTGTGGAGTTTCTGGGTGGCTGGGCAGTTTAAGTACAAAACCCCGATCAGTCTAAGATAACCACCAACACTAAAAAGCCTTTCATATCGAAGACTGCTTGCTTCATTCCCTAGGGATCAACATAGCCCAAAAAGCCTTATTCAGTATGGTCTTTGGGCCCAACAGCCTTAGTATATGGCTGGTTGTCAAAATTGTGGCCCCTTTTTGCTTCCTTAATATAATACGGCGCCTAATATTTAGGATACCCAAAAAGGGAACTTAATTTCGACAACCACCCATATGAGTCCTTAGATCCCCAGGGATTCTACACTACCCCTGCAGATTGGGGGTTCTAGAGCCCAGCCTTAGCAGCTCCAGGTACCCCCAAACCCTCTTACTGTACTAGACCACTGTACTACGGTTGATGATACAAATCCTGCATTACCCATAATATGGTATATGCTATATCTCCCATAGTCTGAGGTCATTTCGGTAATGCAGGATTTATATCATCAACCGTACTACTGTACTACTGCAGTAGTGGTGTAGTTGCATTGCTACCTGACTACTGTAGTAGTACTACTGCTGACTGTAGTACAACTGTACTACTAGCCCGGGCCCAAACCCCCACACCCCCCTCAAGAGCTACTTTGCCTCCACAGCCCCCACCTACAACCCCAGCATCTGCAGAGCACCGCAGACCCCAAGCCGCCTCCAAATCTTTCGAAAAGTTTGTCAAACCCACCCAGACCCCAAGCCAGCCACAAAGCCCCTGCGAAGCCCCCCGAAACCCTTCTAAGTTAGTCAAGCCCAGTCAAGGGCAAGAGATTCTTGACCCCGAACCCGAACGACAGTCACACATTAAAGGATACTCGAGGCTTCCATCAGAGGGTCCCCCTCAACGGATCCTATCACTACCTCGCAGCAGTTTTGGGAAGCTCGAGCCTTCTCGTATATAGTTCTTTTTGGGGCCCGCTTTCCTGAGTTTCCGCCATGGTCCGTCACGTGGCTTTGCTTCTGCTCGCTGCCGGCCGCTGGGATGAAAAGGGCTAGGCCCAGTAGTGATCTGTTGCACTTGTTATTTTGAGGTTTTTGAGTTCGGTGTCTCCTTAATCGTAACTTAGTGACCTGTTGCACTTGTTATTTTGAGGCTTTTGAGTTCGGTGCCTCCTTAATTGAGCTAACTAAGCAAGACTGCTATCCGCAACCACCCCAAAACCCTAGGTCTAATGATCTATGAAAGCCAGGGTTTACCTTCATACTTCCAGTATAATCTACCTCAAAACCTTGCTCTAACTCGCCCAAAAATATCCACGATTAAGGACCTTGAGGGTTCTATGAAAGGACACGAAAGTCTACTCTGCTTTAAGGGTCCAAGGGCCCAAATACTAGGGTTCCGAGGTCCAAAAACCGTTCAGAGCATTGATTTGGGGACCTAAAACCCTACAATTGGGTACTTCGGCTGATGATATAAATCCTGCATTACCTTAAGGTCCCTAAACTATGGGAATTACGGTATATTCCTTATTATGGGTAATGCAGGATTTATATCATCAACCGTTGGACCCTTTGGGCTAATTATTCTGAATTCCTAAGCAACGGAGTTCTAAAGGGGCTTGACCTCAAACCAAAAATACCCATAATGGCCCCATTAAGGGACACTAAAGTATACTGTATAATTATTCAAGGCCCCATTGGCATGATTGGGGAACTGAGGCTTCGCGGCCGCCAGTGATGTGGAGACTGCATTGGCCTCCGCTGCCTGGTTGCAGATTTGTTAAGCAACTCGGGACATTTGTTTTAATGCTTTATTTGGCATTAGTTGGCTTTATGTGGCTTTGTTTGGTTAAGCAACTCGGGACCCTTTTGCTCAGTATGTTTAGACCCTTCTGGAAGTTTGGGTTTAGGGTTGACTAAGGACACCTTTGCCTCGTATGTTTAGACCCTTCTGGAAGTCAGGGTTTTGATGCAGGATTTCGGGTTTGGTGTTTATGTTGGTGCTTCGTTGGCAAAGCTGAGCGAGAGGACAAGGGGTGCCCATTTGTTACGAAGCTTCGTTGCAACGTGGCGCTTTGCTCCTTTCCTGTAAGGCACTGTGCCATGCTGAAATAAGTGCGCTGAGAGGGTGTATGTCTGTACATCATGTTGGTTCCGCTTGTTCGTGTCACGCTGTAAACTGCAGGCCGTACCCTACCGCACCCAAATCCCGAACCCTAAACTCCCTGAACCGTGTCTTGGCTTCTGAGTCTGTAGCTTTGGTATGCGACTCAGACCGTCTTTGCTTTAAATGCCAGAACCCATCATGTACTTGAAGGCTCACGGGACTTAGTAAGTAAGGTTGACCCCACTTAGGGGACTTATAACCCCAATTATAACCTATTTACTAAGTCCCATGATCCTCTAAGTAGAGCCAAGCCTGTAGCTCGAAGCCCTGAACCCCAAGACTGAAGAGCCATGTACACCCGGCCATGTGTGCATGTAATACACTAGGCATCGTTTACTATGCAACCCCAGTTATAAACAAATTGGGGAAGTGTTGAAATCGATATCTTGTGCAGTGCTCGGTAGATCTACGGCTTAAGTTTTGGAGTTTGTTTATCGCTCTACAGTCCTTACAGAGTTATATAATTACTATTCAATACCCAATACCCCAGTCGACTTGTTCAGGGCGCTTTCTTGCACCTGCATGGTTTCTGAAAGGTCTGGGAAGACAGGTGCTTAGGGGCCTCCATAAATACCAATAATATCCTGGTGGTTCCTGACTATAAGTATACTATAATGGGCCCCCAAACCCTATTCTAATTATTAAGGCCGCTAGCTAAGCCTTGAACCCCTATAGTACCCTTATAATTGTATCCCTTAATAGAACCCTTTTAATGGAACCCTATTCTAGTTATTACGGCCCCTGGAGGGCTTTGAATCACCGAACCACTGGACCAAAGCCGATCCCAAAGCATCACTGCGTCACGTGATCAGCCTCCACCCTGCAGCCAGAAATCCCAAAGCCCGAACCCCTTGAAGCCCTTAATTATACCCTAAAACCCTGAAGCCTAAACTCCAAAACGTCACCCAGAAACCTCAAACCAAAACTCACCCTAGGATACGGAGTGTGCCGATGAGACCTGCGCACTCAATGCCCTGCAGCAGAAGCAAGCCGCTTTGGCAGGCCCCGTTGCGTCGACATGACTTATGTATAGGTCCCTTGGTAAGGTCTGGTTGCTGAAAAGTTTCTTGGCGTTCTTCTGGTTGGCTCTTAGGACTGTGACTTTGGGGGTTTCTATATGAACCATAATAAGGGGGCTAAAAGTTTAACTTTTAGGAGCAGGGGGTGTTCAGAAGGCAGCCAAGATTAGAGTAACTATACTTAAGACTACTTATAACCCCAATTAAGGCACTTATAACCTTACTTACTAAGTCCCATGATCCTCCAAGTAGACCCTAAACCCCAAACCCATAGATCCCTTTAAGGATCCCTATAGATCCCTTTAAAGTCCCCTTAAAGGAACCCTTACTTACTAAGTCCCATGATCCTCCAAGTAGGGTGTAAGTTTGGCGCTGCAGGCATGGAGGGATGTAATCAGACGGGAGCCCTGAATCCTGAACCCTACTAAGGGAGGAAGGGTTCCTTAAAGGGCTCCTTAAAGGGATCTATAGGGATCCTTAAAGGGATCTATGGGTTTAGGGTTTAGGGTCTACTTGGAGGATCAAGTAAGTAAGGTTATACCCTTAATTGGGGTTATAAGTAGTTATAAGTATAGTTACCCTATAATTATAACTCTAGTTACTAAGTCCCATGATGATCCTTTAGGTAAATCCTTGTCCCGACGCCCTGGACCAAACCCTTAGCCGACCCTACCCCGGTTTCAGGCTAGAGGCCACAACACATAAACAAAAACGATCTCGAAAGCTCTGAACAGAGACATGCACATGCCCCAAACTAGCCCGAATCCTGCACCCTTTCCAATGTAGGGGCTTGAGTAGTTACCGATACCATCCCTTAGGGTTCCTCAATATGTGTGGTTGTCCAAATTATGGTAACCCTTTTTGGGTATTTTAAATCGTATTAGGTGCCGTACTATAATAGGGACCCAAAAAAGGACCATAATTGTGACAACTACCCATATGATAGTAAAACTACGCGTCTTTCATCCCTGAGCCCTAATTCCCCAACCCTTTTCATCAGGCTGCCGTACTGTTTGGGTGACCGAGAAAGGGACCCCACCTAGGAAAGGTACTTGTTGGTACTCCACGTCGTCTCCACGTCCTCCGCATGATTGTACAGACAGGCAACTGCGACGCCGATGTATATAGGGCTGCCTTTTCCATCTTCCCAAGACCCTCCTTTTGCATTTCCTCGCTTTTACCCAACAGCATAGCATGAACTCAAACCTCAACTCTGTACAGAAAGAAACATTTCACTTACCTTTCAGCCGCTAAACACTCGATGCTACAAGAGGTTTTGCCCCAACGAAACCCACCCAACCCTGAACCCCGAAGCCCGAAATCGAAACCTCTAAACACCAGACGGTAACCTCCAAGTCCCCAAACCCGGCAGTAAGACTTCAGGAGTCGTATCCCGAGTATTGTCAGTATTATGAAGAGCAATGGTGAGTTTGTGATCATTGCTATTAGTAGTGCTCGTTCCTATCGTTACGCCGACTACGTAGAAGCCCAAAAGTTGGAAACCCCAGAGCCTCCATCCTTAAGAGTAATGCATAGGGAATCCCAGCACTATTTGGCCTTAATCCAGTTTCCAACTTTATCTAAGTTTCGGGAACTCTAAACCCTAAACCCTTTATAGAACCCTTATAAATTTTCTTTAAGGAACCCTTAAAGGATCCCTTTGGGTTCCTGGGTTTACTGTAGTCTTCTTGAGGTCTTGCAGAGGAGTCCGTGGCGAAGTTCGAGACTGCTCTGGAAGAAGGTAGGAGCTTTTGCTGCGAACAACCCGACCTCTTCTGGGGTTCGGGGTTCTGATTCAGGGGTGCTACCCAACTTGGAGGGGCAGGGGACTTGGTAAGTAGGATATAAGTAGAGTCGTAAGCACCCTAAATGGAGTTACCCCAATTATAACCCTACTTACAATCGACTTATATACTAAGTCCCCTGCCCCTCCAAGTAAAGGCCCAAAGGACCGAAGAGTTAGGTACTCGGTTTTAGGATAGTACCTTAACCTACCAAAACCTACCTTTTTTGTAGGGTCCCTACAAATTCCATATCAGGGTCTTTAATGAGAAGCTACAAAAAAGTAGGGTTTGGTAGTTTAAGGTAGTTATGTAGGTTACTGTTCTGGAGAGTACATGATAACTAGGTCCTTGGACCCGTAGGGTTAACTAGGTTCTGGTGAACCATAGTTTCACCACTTTTTCGGGGACCGGCTCTTCAAAGAAATCGTACTTGTTTCTTTTTGATTACTTCAAGGCCCAGTAAATTACGGGATTTAGGAATTTTTTTCCGGGTATCTGGGGCCTCAATAGTTGGAATAGGGTTTGGGTTACACTTACACTATACTAGGACTCAGAGTAGGCCCTTATTCCCTTTTTTTAGGTCTTAGGTTCCCTTATAACGCCCTTTAAACCAAAAAGGGCACCCTTTTTCTTCCTAGGTTACTCTTGGGTCTAGTATACTATCGCCATAAGAAGAAGCAGGACGACTAGTGTTGGCAATCAGTGTTCATGCTTGGTGGTGTTAGGGTTTATGGTCTTCGATAGAGATGGTGAGGTTTTGTCGCCAAGAATAACTTGCTGCTTTAGGCTTTATGGCTTTGCCTTAAGGCTCCTGGACCCGTGTGGTGAGGCCCAAACCCGAGCCAACCCAAGCCGAAACCCTCCCCCAGAAAGCCCAATACCCTCTCAGGAGTCTTAGGGTAGGGTTTTATTATTTTGGGTGTTAAAGGTAAGTAATCCCCTCCCGGCCAGTTTTGGTCAAAGTTGTCTTGTAAGCCAAATCAGATCCTCTAATAAGTACAGCTCAAAAGCCTGCACACCGTCAGCCGTTTTAGGATTTAGGGGCTTTTGAAATTTCAGTGGCTGGCAGGCTTGATATGGGGCTGACCTGTTCAAAAAACTCCAGGTGATGCCCAGGAGGAAAAGCTGGAAATGATGCTACCTGGCTGAGAATCTAGGGGCCTGCGGAACTACTGATACTACTCCTGAGGGATCATCTTAGACATCAACTACTGCGGCTACCAGACCACTACAACTATCATTACCACTACCAGTCACTACCACTAGCACCAGCACTACCACTACCACCGCCTCTACCACTACGATTGCTACTACTACTACCACTCCTGCTGCTGCTGCTGCTACTACTACTACAACTACTCCTACGCCTTCTCTTGCTCCTATTCCTACTCCTGTGCTAGGGCTACAACAACGCATCAACTACTACCACCACGACGACTACTACTACTACTCCTCCTGCTGCTGCGAGGACTACTGCCACCACTACTGCCGCCACTGCTACTAGATGAATACCACTGCTAAACCATTTAAAGGTAATAGGGTGAACAGTGAACCACCACATCATCAAAGCATCACCAGCGTCGTAGAACTATTGACAACGCAATGACATGTCCTGTAATGTTAAGCAAATGCCAGTCATGCTGTGTACAAGGCTATGCTGCATCACCATCACCGTCTCCATCCATACAAAAAGCGCCGTTAATGTAGCAGCCTTATGCAGTAGAGGAGGGTTTTGCGGTGGTTTTTATACATTAGTCAAGGAATCTTGTATTAATGCATAGTGTTAGTACGCAGGCTTCTGTAGCTAGGTTACGGACTTGCGAGCGGCTATAGGAAGGCGGCTTCGGGGTCCCAGTACCAGTTTATGGCCCCTGCAAAATTCGTGCCAGAGTCCGACTTATGTGGGGTCCTTATATGCATCTACTCGGATGTCCCACAAAACCCCATGTTGATGATTCAGGATCCAGTAAAAGAGCTCTGTGCTCCCAGATGATGAGGCTTTGATATCTCCTCCAAAGTAAGAGCCTTCAATCCATGCGTGACGTAGCTCTTGTTCTTACCGTCTTTCTGTGGGGTTTCGCCATATGAGCCAGGCAGAAGCATGGCAAAGCCGAAAAGGCCACGGAGGGCGAGCAGCCACTCGTCTGATCGCGGAAGTTTATCATGAGCCTGTGTACAGTAAAGGAGTATCTATAGACAGGAATACATTTTCGCCCCGATCTTATTCCGAGGGGTTCTTGTTTTACGTCTGTGCCATATTGTAGCCCGAGACCCTGCCCACAGTACGTACAGTTGTGGAACATCCACAGATTATCTGCTTCTACTCTCTTAACCTACCATACCATCCTAGTGATATCATTGCATGAAGCTGCATGATTTCGTATTGCATGGTACAGCAGGGATCCTTCATGAAGCGTTTCGAAGCTCGCAATTCTTCCTACTGTCAAACAAATCTTAGATCGCCAATACCTAACCTTTAAACTTCTTGGGTTCTTATATTTTAGCAGGAACCGGAAAATTTAACCCTTCATTTATGTGGCTTTCTGGGGTAGTAAGAAAACCCCAAACTCTGAACCCTAAACCCTAAGCCCTAGACCCTGAACCCGAAACCCTAAACCCCTAAACCCGGAACCCCTAAGCCCTAAAACCCCTAAACCCTAAAACCCCTAAACTCTAAACCCCTAAACCCCAAACCCGAAACCCGGGGTAGTAAGAAATTGTGAATTGAGGGATCCTGGACGAAGGAGCTTTAACATGCTATCTGAGAGTTTCCGAAGATTAGGGGTGCCTTAAGGGTTCCCTTAAAGGGGTCCTTAAAGGGATCTATAAGGGTTCTATAGTGGGGATTATTGTATGGAGTTTCCGAAAGTTGGGAGGTGCCTTATTTGGGGTCCTTCTAACAGGGATCCTATTATTTAGGAGATTCTATTAGGGTCCTCTCGAGCCAGAAACTCCATTCTATCTTTAAGGCTTGTAGGTTTTCGTGCCCCGCTTTCCTTCCTGTCATGTATTGTCCGTAGACTTTCATCAGTACGGTTTAGGAGTTGAGGTTGCGTAGATTCTAGGGTTTGCCGTTGAATATTCCTTGAAGCTAGATTCGACACCCCACCCACTGCTCAGCATTCGATTGTCATCCTAAACCCTGATCCTTTTTTCTTCAGGCCGAACGACGATGTGCTCAGAACCTGTGACAGCTTGAGTCGTATTGAAAGGTCCCAGCCCATACATCATTTTCCTGATTCCGTGACTCAGCCACCTTTGTCGCATGTATGTGCGTATGTATGCATGCATGCATGCATGGGTGTATGTATGTATGTATGTATGTATATACATATATATATATATATATATACACACATTCTACGGGGTGAAGTCAGCCAAAAGGTGGTCCTTCTGTTAAAGGGAACAGGGGACTTACCAAGTACGGTGTTCAGCAAGCTAGGGTGACCACAGCTGCATCTGTTCGTGTCCCAATAACGGTACTCACGCAAAGGCGATTCTAACGATTCGTCACGCTCCTGCATTAGGGAACCTACCTGTTAAGTCCCCTGAACCCCCATACTCAAATTCACCCAACCTCAAAGCCAAACTAAGCCCCTACAGCAACCGTATAGATCCCGTTTTCTAGCTTCATCGAACCTTTGTACCAACCTTGTTTATCAACCTTGTTTATCCCATAGCATGCCAGGTGGGGCAGCGACGTCTTTGGCCAGTCTCCGTCCACTGGTCACTCTCCGACGCTTCCAGTTCTGCCGAGCAAATACTGTGCCTCGGGTTAAAGGAGCGTCATGAAGAGCCTAAAAGAGAGGAAAATGTAGGAACCTGATTAAGAAATCTTGGACCTTTATAAGGGTTCCTTATATGAATCATTTTATTTGGATGTTATAGGCCCAGGGTGTCTTAATCAGGTTCCTACATTACTTCGTGGAAGGATCCGTAGTTCAGAAACCCCGGGATCGAAAGAAGCCCCAAGACTTACGAGGTTGAGGTCCAAGTACCTAATAATCATACACCCTCCTAAATATTGAGCTACAGAACTACTATCCTAAACCCAAGTACCTAATTATTGGGTCCTTATACACGCACACACACACACATATATATACATATGCATATACATATACCTATATACCTATTTATATATACACATATTCCATACATATAAATATATTTGGACCCCTAGGGATTGATAGCAAGGTGATGCCGTTGGGTCATAACGCTCCGGCTCGGTGCTTCTTTGGTGAGGTCTGAGGTTTAGGGTTTAGGGCCCCCTAAACCCTACCTTAACCCTGAAGAACCTACCTTTTTAGGGTTCCCTATTATGACTTCCTTATATAAGTCCTTAAAAAGGTAGGTTCTTCAGGGTTAAGGTATACCCTAAAGCCTAAACCCCTTAACCCTAAACTTCGGAGTTTGGGAGGTTCAGATTTCAGATGAGTTCAGGCCGTTGCTGCAGTGAAGACATCACCCACTTCACCGGAAGCTTCCTCCTCATAGGGTCTAGGGTTTAAGGGTTTAGGGTTTAGGGGTTCAGGGTTTAGGGTTTAGTGCTCGACACCTTGGCCTTTGTCCTGTTAAGAACCATTGAGTTTACCATTGCCGCACCCCAACTACTAAGCCCTAAAAAGAAGGGGCATCAATACTTACCAATACTAGCTTGGGGGTTCCTCAGTAAAACTGTAGTACAAGGGGCCCCAACTGTACCTTTAAGGAACCCTTCAAAGGAGCCCTATCCTAACTATTCAGGCCCCTCATATTACATTAAACCCCTATAAGTACCCTTAATTCTATCCCTTAAAGGAACCCTTAAAAGGAACCCTATTCTAACTAGTCAGGCCCCTATATTATATTCAACTCCTACACCAAATTTCCGCAACCGTCGATCCACAACTACCTGTACTTGGACGATCATGAGACTTAGTATGTAAGGCTAGAAGTACCTGAAATTGGGGTGATAAGTAGCTATAAGTACAGCTACCCTAATTATAACCCTAGTTACTAAGTCCCATGTTCCTTTAAGTATGCAGCGCCATGCCGCGAAGATAAGGGAGCACATGCAGGGTCTCATCACGCTAGGGGGGTCCTTTCAGGGTCGCGGAAATATATGCGGAGGATCATGCGGCTTAGTAAGGAGGTAAGGTTTTAAGTACCTGGGTTGGGGATATAAAAACCAACTATAAGGGTAGTTACCTGACTTAGAAGCTTAGTTACTCGTCCCTATCATCCTTTAAGTAGGGATGTAAGGGCAATTGGTCCAAGAACAACCGTTTAATCAACGGGTTTGCCTCAAATCATAGTGGAACTACTACTACTAGTTGAGGGATATTCCTTGAGCATGGGGCATGGGGCTGTATGATGAGTACTCAGATTCTTCTACGGGCTCAATGTTAGTTTCTGATTCATAAACCCTTTGTCAGACTTCTTACTCTTGGGACCCCTACCATATTCCTTGTTACGAGAGGAAGATTGATTCACCAGAGGTCTACAGTATTCTTGAATCGATGCAGGGTCATTTAGCTTTCTGGGCGTTGGGGTGAAGATGCCGGAGAATTGAGTTTAAGGATGTTGATGTTTCGGGACTAGGGTTTATATAGAGGTTTAGGGCTTACAGTTAAGAGTTTGTGATTTAGGGGTTCGGGGGATTGGGCTTCAGACGCCCTCGATTTCAGGTTTGGGGCATCGAGTTGGATGCATCAAAGCCCTAGACTCTCAACTTTATTACCGCGAAACTCTCAACATGCTGACGGTCATAGTATTACTGATAGTAACGATGGTACTACTGGTTTTAATTGTAATACTAATCAAACAGCAATGGCAGTTTTCATGGTGATTGCACTAGTACTTGCAATAGTAGTCTCAATAATCATAGTGTTGGTAGTAATCGCAATAGCAACAGCAATAGTAGTGCAGACGCTATTAGCAGGACTGGTAGTAATGTTTGGACTAGCAAAGTAGTAGTAGTAGTAGTAGTAGTAGTAGTAGTAGTAGTAGTAGTAGTAGTAGTAGTAGTAGTAGTAGTAGTAGTAGTAGTAGTAGTAGTAGTAGTAGTAGTAGATGATGATGATTACCAGTACTATTTCGGGGGTTCCCTTTTATATTTATTGTGCAACGGGCCCCAAAACCATATTCTAAATTGTTGCCCCTACATTATCGATCTCCACTGTAGGTCCCTTGTAATTAGTGCCCTGTAAGGAACCCTATTCTAATTGTTAAGGCCCCTATATTAGCTGACCTCAGTCTGTTCAGCCTCGAAGAAATGCGTGCAGTTCATCACTTGTTCAGTTTGTGCCGACGCTTCTCAGTTGGACCCTACTTGGAGGTTCATGGGTTCAGGGTTCCTTTAAGGGTTCCTCTAAGGGTTCCATAGGGTTTGGGTTTAGGGATTGGGGGCTAAGGGTAGTTATAAGTGGAGGTAGAAGTACCTTAATATGGATTGTAATTGCAGTTACCTTAGCCCCTAAAGCCGCAACCCTCCCCCAGAAGGCTCAAGACCTCCTTACGAGCCTTAGGGTTATTAAACCCGAAAGAAACCACAGCGGACCGAGGCACAAGCAGGATCGAGTCCTCGTCTTGCAGGTATCTTTGGCAAAGAAATTCGGTACTTAAAGCAAACCCCCCCTCAACTCTCTAAGCCCAAGCCATACGTATCATAAGCCCGTAAACCCCAAACCATACTAAGACCATAGCCCCCGAAGAAACCCTAGCCCCAAGGGGGCTTCGAATATCGAGAATAGTAGACTAGGCAGCTCTTAACCATTTCGTGGTATTCGGGTTTAGAGTTTATGTTTTAGTCGTAGAGCATTTTGTGGTACTACGGTTGATGATATAAATCCTGCATTACCTTAAGGGCCCTAAACTATGGGAATTATGGTATATTCCTTATCATGGGTCATGCAGGATTTCTATCATCAACCGTATATTCCCTACATAATCCCAAAGGCTACTTGAGTTCTTCATACTAGACACGCGAGTGCAGCCGGAAGGGTCCCAGTGGCCCCAACTTAAAGGGGGTTCTGTATTAGATGTTTAGGGTTTAGGGTTTAGGGTTTAGGGTTTAGATGTTTAGGGTTTAGGGTTTAGGGTTTAGATTTACAGCATAAAGTAACCCCCGAGTGCCATTCCAATTACTAAGCCCCCTCTATTATCCATGGAGTCCCCCGAGGGTCCAAGTTCCCAGCTTAAGGCGTTCCATGAGGGCTCTGCAAGGTTCTGCATTGAGGATTGAGGGTTTAGGGTCTAGGTTAAGGATTCTAACATAGTGGCCGTCACAAGGGATTTGTACGGTCTGGGTGTACATTCAGGGCCCCGGCACCCACTAACACTAACCCATTAGTAGGATTGAAGGTGTTATAGGCCGCATTGGCCTAAGAGGTTAGCTGAAGTAACTACGAAAACACTTCTTGAGCGTTCCTGATTGTAAGTGTAGTATAACAGTTTGACCCCGAAGCCCATTCCATAGATTTACCTAACTTATTCCACTTGTAGCTATAGGGTTGTAAGTATAGTAAAGGATTTTCACCCCAAAGATCTTTTTCAAGAAACAAGGCTTTTCTAAATGCGGAATAGTAGGGTTGTAAAGATTCCGGTCCAAACTACCAGACTCTGGATGGCTTTAATGGGCCATTAAGGATTATTAATTGTTTCCACGGTTGATGACACATATCCTGCATTCCTTGCCTTAATGACCCTAGACTATGGGAATTATGGTATATTCCTGATTATGGTTATTGCAGGATATATACCATCAACAGTAGTCAGGGTAGGTCGGGATCCGTGTAGGTCCCCAACCCTACTATAGGGGCCTAAATAATTACCAATACCGTGTTGGGGGTTCCTTATTCTAATTATAGCATACTGGGCCCCAAAACCCTATTCTGGCTAGCAAGGCCCTTATACCCTGAACCCCTTATAGAACCCTTTGAGCAACCCGTTAACCTTAAAGGGAGCCCTATTCTAACTGTTAAGGCCCCTACATAGTAGTAGAGTAGGCAACTTTGAACTGTTGTTTTGGGTAGTATAGTCTCTATACAGTCCCTATATAGCCAAGAAGGTTAAACTTTAGCTCCCCATGATACCGGACAAGTAGGTTAAGGAAACTCTATTCTAGTTGTTAAGGCCCCCATACTAACCCCCATCAGACCCTTTATTATACTAACCTGTTTGTAGAGACCTTCAAAAGCAAGCCTTTATTGTTCAGGCCTGTATATGGGAATTTCCGAACAGGTATTAAGCTCTCAAAGCACTGCAGCCTTGTGCTTTGAGGCGCTACATCTATAGGGATTAGGGATTACTTTAGGACGTGTAGGAACCAGGAACCCCCAATGGCCCCTTAATAGAGCCCTGATGCTCCTTAATGGTGGGTATTTGGAGTATATTAGAGGGTAGTTGAGGGGTTCATTTAGAAGCCTACTATAGATCCCTTAAAGTCACCCTTATAGACCCCTTTAAAGGAACCCAAGGATTCTCATTTAGAGCCCGAGTGCTTGCGATTAGAGTAGAAGCCAAAAAGTTGGAAACCCCATAGCCTCAATCCTTAAGAGTAATGTATAGGGATTACCAGCACTATTTGGCCTTAATCCAGTTTCCAACTTTATGGGGTTTACTGTAGCGACTCCTTGGCCTGAAATCCCAAGCATAGCCACCGAACTTTAAGTTTAAATGCCTGGCAGCCCGAAAGCCAAAAGTTTCGGAACAAAAAAACAAAATATAGGAGCCTTATAGTTACCTATACTATTTGGGGGCTCATTATTGTATTTGTTGTTTATTGGGCCCCCAAGCCCTATTCTAATTATTCAGGCCCCTATATTAATCAAAGCGTGCTGCCGCAAGTACCCGAAAGCCCTCTTACTTGCAGGCTTTTCGACTGTGCGACGTCACGGGGTCCTTCGTCTTGCAACACCACGGAAGCTTGGTGCAGTAATCTACACAGTGAGTTCCTGGGCTTCCTTGGTAATACACCACAATGTGCCCAGTGGCCTTTAGGTTTGGTTACTCGGTTAACGGTTATGGCGACCACAAGGTTTTGACGGGTTTAACGAAAAGTAGCCCAAAGATACTGTTGATGGACACAGGCCCAGCATTAAATTCAAGTTTTTGAGCTATGGGGCTTATGACCAATATTTCAATCCCCCCAAAGCGTTAAAGGCTCTCTGCATCCAGCTACCCTCAAGGTTACTGTAACCGTACCCCTAAGGTTTGGGAGTTGAGGGTTTTTCGAGTTTAGGCAGGTCTTACACTACCAAGACCCTGCTTCAAAAACGCCTTTCAAGGCCCTTTAGCCTGCATGCGGAACTGCTTGGAGGATCATGGGACTTAGTAAGTCAGGTTAGAAGTACCCTAATTGGGGTTATAAGTAGTTGTAAGTATAGTTACCCTAAGTATAACCCTAGTTACTAATTCCCATGATCCTTCAAGTGCTTCCCTCCTCCCGAACTCCTCCCGAGCTCCGCTGCAGCTGCACAAAGTTTTAATTGTTGAACTACGGCACCCCAAACTCGTTGAGGCCCTGTCCCTTAGGCTTCAGTGTCTATTGCGCTGAATATGGAACCCTACGACGCAACCTACAAGGACTCCCACACAAGGTACCTTATTCCGAACCTGCGGAATGCTATGCCCTAGCAAGGATTACACATGCCACTGCAAGCCGGGTTACTGCTCAGACGGCAAAGGCTAGGACTGCGGAGGGGGCCAAAGTTAGGTCAAAAAAGGGTCTTGAGGGTTTAGTCAAAAATTCAGTGTTGACGATTTAACTGGGTATTGCACCGATTTGGGTGTAATGCTCAACTAATTCCCGTTCATGTCGAAACCATACAACCCGGCATGCGCCCTGAACCCCAAATATAAAACAATAAATGTTGAAATTTGAAATCGACACCCAGCAACAGGTCATGACATTGCGTTTCGGATTAGGGCAACCCGACTACGGTACTTGATTGCTGGTCTGCTGCAAATACCCTCGGGTTCCTTAACTTCTAGAGTCCCCAAAAATATGCCCCAACACCCCAGTGGAATTATTGAGGCCCTTGTATAACTCAGTTCCCTCATCCCTCAAGTAGGGTTTAGACCATCGAGAATCGACTACGACATGATCTTGCTTTTCAGAGAGAGCTTCAGGACTTCAGGTCTAGGGTTTCATGTAGGAACCTGATTAAGAAACCCTGTGTCTTTATTGGGGCTCCTTATATGAATCCTACTCTTTGGCGGGTTATGAGGTCAGGTTCTTAATCAGGCTCCTACATTGGGATGGCTGATGATGTCGACTGTTCCAGTCCAGCATAGTGTTGAAGGCAGGTTCATTGTCGAATTGTTGCGGCGATGGGCCTCCTGATTTCAGGAACTATAGGTAGCAGTGAGCCTTTCTGGTATAGGTGATGCTACTATGTTACACGAAATTTGCTTCCCCAGATGCTCCATACACACTACCATTATGGAATGAGGTATCAAAGTTCCATCCCTATTAATTATGGTTTTTGGGGCCTAGTTGCGTAATGGTAGTGTACACGGTCCCTCTGGTTTCATATTACCCCTGGAACACATACGTAACCGAGGGATGCATTGGTTTTGCGTTTTAGTCGGGCGGGTGCCCGGGGCAGCATCTTTACCTACACCGAAACCCAAGTCCGAAAACGCACAGCACCCTGCATCCCTCGCCCTGAGTGTCTTTTAATGACGGTCTGGAAAAACTATTAGGCTTGCCCGGGCGCAGGCGTCTTCTGCGTAGGATAGACAATAATACCTGGAGCCTGAAAAACTCCGCGTGTAGGGACATGAAACCAGTGGTCAGCGACAAGTGGAAACCCTGAACCCACCCTTTTACATCCAGCTGTAATGCCAGTAGTATCCGGCTATACTGCCTTGTTTAGGTTTGCACGAACAAGTGCGCAAGTCCTTGGGTTTAGGTTATAGGGCTCTATGTGTATATATATATATATATATATCCCAGAGGGTCCAAGTACCCAAATAGTAGGGTTTTAGGTCCCAAAATCCATACTCTGAATGGTTTTTGGACCTTGAAACCCTACTATTTGGGTACTTGGACCCTTAGGGTATGACAGCTGAATACAGATGCATTAAAAACTAGTAACGCCATTCCTGCGGGCTCGATGTTAAAACTATACTTGTATCTGCCCCGCTCCCTTCCAAACCCTACGCCCCGAGACTTTATATCCCATTTAAAGCCCTCTAAACAGCTTCTCAAAGGAACCCTAAATCGCTGCAAGCTCGTCTTGGAGGCTGTGTGTCGGTGCATGGTGATGCAAAGCCGACGCCCGGATTCAGCGACTACCACGCAACGCCAGGGCAGCCTGGCCGAGATGTGGAGTGCATAAGTTATCGGAAAATCAAAGCCATAATGGTAGTCCCAAAGGTTCGCTACTATACTATTACTTAAAGTAGAGTTCCTGCGTCGCTGTAGAGGCCTGAACAGTTACGAGGAGTATTTCCGAGGGATCCTGATGACAGGTAAAGATGGTAACCCAACCTCATCTGCAATTCCCCGGCACTGACGGTTTTGGATGGAGAGATCGGAGTGCGCGATTCGAGGCCTTCGCGACCCGCAACTCCACGATGGTTAAGCCGAAATCCGCACAACATCAGGATTTTGAGGCTTTCTTGTGCATAAGTCAGGCATATGGGTCGAAACCGGTTAATGCAGATCCGGATGATCTAGTTGCCAGCCTGTTTGCGAATATCTAGATCCAAGGGCCATCAAGGGCCTTAGTAATCCACAAGCCCCGAACTCACAAACCGTTAACCCTCAGCCCTTCAGCTTCGTAGAAGCAGGAGCACAGGCAACTACTCGTCACTTGGGACCACCCGGAGAGACTACGTGTTACGGCGAATTACTTACACGCCATCCCCTCTCAAGGTTTAACATATCGTTGGACTTTGCACGTATGAGGTTCCATGTCGGATTTTTTCTTAGGATAGCTTGATTTTTGGCGTTTAGAGTTCACCGCGTTACAGTATCGCTGCAGCCCGAAAGAAACCTTAAACCCTGACAAGGTTTTGCGAGACAAAGATCCAGAGTTCTTCCTGCGACTCGGTTCGTTGGTGGTCGCATGGAGTCCGAGCGGTTAACGGTTTAGGAGTTTTGGAGTTTAGGGGTTTAAGTTGTAGGAAGGAGTTTGAGGGTTAAGTCATACCCAGGTCCATAAGTGATGGCGGATTAGAAGGAAGGGAGCACAGGATCCAGAACATAGGTAGGCCACTGGGACAGCATTTGCTCTTGTTTCTTTGTATAACATATCCCCAACACCCAAATCCAATCATTAAGGCCCGTGCATTACTTCGTGATGAGGTGTGAGAGTTTGAGAAGCCTACCCGCATTGGGTTAGGGGTTCAGGGTTTAGGGGTTCAGGGTTCAGGGTCCATGGAGGTTTGGCTCATGGCAGTCGGGAAGTGTTCTGACAAGTTTTTCAAGGGTCTACAATTCATGAGGGGTTTATGTGGTTGTAAGGGGTGTGCTTTCGGGTTGTTCTGAAGGTTCTTTGAAGGGATCTTTGGTAGCGGGTCCTAACCATAAAGGGAGCCTTGTTGTCTTGTTCGAGAATTGGTACTCTTGAGGGACGGGTGTTGTGAACAGTCCCTTGTGCGCAAAACCCTGCAGCACGAAGCTGCCTAACCCTCAAACCCATCGCCTTTGTTTATCATCCCTGAACCCTAACTCCCTCTTCTGAAGGGCCTCAAAAAGCGAACGCACAGCCCTAAACCTCAGGTGTTCGGGCTAAGCTACAGAATTCTATGCATGCGAGCAAAGGCATGATCTTCGATTGCGCCGTGTCGCGCGGGCCCTCGACGTGCAATACCACCGACGCTCTGCCGAAGTGGATGCCCTGCCCTACTAAAGCACTATGGACGAGTGTCTACTCCCAAGGGTCCAAAGGACCTCATGATCAGTTAGTTGGGCTTGTCATATTAGTTCTAGTTGTCGGCTGTGAGTTATACGGGTGTATATGTTAACTAGCTGGTGGCTCCTTCAACCCCTTCAGGAGTTTGAAGAAAGGCGCAGCCTCGCAAACACCAAGCCTTACAGTCAAGACTTGCCAATGCTGTTCCAACAGCCCCCAAACCCCACTCCACTCACTAAGGCAGATAGTTATATTAAGTCGGCACGATCTTTCGGTTGGAGGATCTGAGCACTTTGGCTTCGGAATCAAGGCTTTCGTCTTTTGCTGACTGGGTGTCCATGGATGGTGGTCCATACCACAGGCTTCAAGATCACGGCTTCTACTTTAAACCCTAAACCCCACCCTAAACCCGCAAAAAACACAACAACCTACATCTCAGAGTGGCCAGGGTTTAGTGTTTAATTTGCCTGAGCCCTCAGCCTTTGAATGCTAAGCCCGAAGCGGTAAAGCCTGCAAACCTTATGCATCCGACCCAAAACCCTGAGCCCTTTACCCCAAAGCATCTCCTAAAGCAGTGCTTGTATTGGGAGATCTTTTGGGACGTTTCGTTTGCAAAAGCCTTCTAGCAAGACTAGCAGCAAACCCCCTTCGGATGCAAGAAGATCTGATGCGATTCGGGTGCTGATAATTATAGCCAGGCTTGATAAGATGTTGTTTGTCCTTAGTGTTGTTCGTGGTGTTTTACATAGGGGGCTTAAAGAATATAAGGAAGGGTTTGGAATTAGGTTGCAGCATAATCTTACTTAGTAAGCACCACAAAGAGAAGAGCTGCACAAGCCTCAAATCGCAACCTGCAACACTCGGTACCCGTGGTAGGACGGATGGACGGAATCCCGCATTAACCTATTCTAAGATTCTAAGCCCTAAGCTATGCTATGGCAGTTTACTGTTTGCCGAAATTCTGGAATGTCAGGACTACTTCTGCCATTGCCAACCCGGCTTCTGTTCTGATGGCAAAGGCTGCGTTCCTTTCCACGCGTCCCATCACTATTGAGGACGAGGAGAGCTAGCATAGAGGGGCCGGAATACTCGAAGCCGCAACCCTGTGTAGTCCCTGTAAATCTATACATAGGTACACTGCAATATGGCCCAGAACCGTATCGTAATTCGTACGGTCTTCAAGCGTCTTTGCTACGACAGCTGCTAGGAGTTAGTGTTTTGTGCAGTGGCTAAGTAGGTAACCGCTCAGACTTCTTCCCCTAAGCCTTAAACCAGAACCCTTTGTGGTCAGGCCACTCAGAAACCAGGCTTCCACTATATACCAAGACAGCCAATACCGTCTCCAAATCAACGGAGGTCATGGCTACAGCAGTTGCTGGCACTTAGGGTGTTGTCGTGATCCGAGTTTTGATGTACCTTCGACCAAACAGCTTAAAAGCAACAACACCCTCAACCCCAAATTCAAGAAACAGCAAGCTACAGAATTACTTCTGGTTGCTTCCAAGATCTTTCAAGTCCTTCTTCCAGCATTGACTGGGCCCCTCGTTGTAGAGGGTTGCAAACTGTTTTTCTTTACGTTGTTGGTTGTATCGGAAAATCTTGAAACCTGGCACCTGGAAGCACACACCGGGACCATCGACATTTTGTTTCCTAGACTCCAAAACCCCGTACATAATACAAGAATATCCCTCAAACTGAAAGTATAATCGGCACCCGAATATGAATTAAGGTCCGATCCTTAATGAATGGGTTCTTGGAGACCCCAGACAAAATAGCTACTACAGGGCCTTATAATTACCTACTATTTTGGGGTTCTTTATTATAACTATATTATCTCGGGCCGGTCCCGAAACCCTATTCTAATTATTAAGGCCCCTCTATTATAGTACCCTTAAAGTATCCCTTATAGTAACCCCTACAGATCCCTTTAAAGGAACCCTAGTCTAATCATTGAGGCCCTTCTATTAGATGGAACCCGGGCCATCCCCCAAAGGATCGATAAAGAGGGTGCAGGATTTGGTATCTCGGGTTTGGGGTTTTAGGGGGCTTAGGGTTATATCAGGGGTCCCTTTAATGGAGCCCTTATGGCCCTTAGTAGTGGGTATTTAGGCTTAGGGTATATTAGAGGGGTTTCGGGTTTAGGATTGAGGATGACTCCCCAATCTTCAAATCTAGGCTTGTTCAAGCGCCGTAAACACGAGAGTAACCATTAGAATGGAGTCTGGGGTGAAGTGAAGTACATTGAAGAATTGAGTAGGGGCTTGCAGAGACACTGTTGTGGCGGTTTGTCTTCTTGCTGTTCAGGTCTACACATTACTTGGAGGCACTTTGAGGGCCTTGACCAGGATGTCATAAACTGTAGTTGTGCAACAGAGAGTCGGGTCCTCACTAGGGTCTCATAGAGAGGTTTATTTACATTCTGTGAAAAGTTTTTGTACAACTCACATGGAAGACCATTAGAAGGGATTGGTTCTTCTTGACTGGAGTTTCAGTTGTGACCTCCTCTCGAGAAGCTTTGCTGAGGAGACCGTAGATGTAGCAGGTCGTGGGTAGAGTTGGGCTGAAATAGAGTCACATAGGCGGTTTATTCGAGTTGTTGTCTCAGGAAGTTTATTTTGATAGGTGATAAGTGTATGATACGTCCTATACATAGTTGCAAGAGTCCGGCCTGGGAGGACTTACTAAGCCCGTACCTAAATCGTGCAATACATGTAGACAAGCATAGAACGGTTTAAAGGGAACTCCAGACAGTTGGAATATGGATTCATGGTAGGATCCCCTATAATTTACCTTAAAGGGGTTACGATAATGATATTTCAACTTTCTGGCTTATACTGTAGGGTATTCGGCTTCAGGATTTCGGACTTTATGGTTTTGGGTTGTAGGGTTTCCAAGCGTTCCGCCTTAGCTAAATCCGAAGCTGGTTAACGCTGGCGTTGGAGCAGCTTACTAGCAGTACCCCCTTAAAGCCGGTATGTAAGTAAGTATGCCTCCCTCAAGACCGTATTCTGATTCTTGAGGCCCTTACATGAAAGGCTAAAGCCCCATCGCTTTCAGCTCTCCGTATTTAAATCTTGGTGTCGGCGATTTTGCCTCCAGCCAAACGCGCTGGGATTGTGAGTCGTTCTCGCTTGACCCCGAAGTCTGCGCAGAAATGATCCTGGGTTTCATCGGGTCTTTACTCATGTCATGGACTCTTCTTTGCTTTCTGCGTTGATGCAGCGTTTGTGGATGCCTTTCGGTTGTTGCTGTGAAGCTTTGGAGCTCCTATAAGGGTCTGGGAACAGCCCTCCCCAAACGCTTAAACCCTCGAAGCCCAAACCCCAAATCCTAACCCCCTAGACTCTAAAACAAACCCTAGAAAGCCTCAGAGCCTGAATCTCGGAAACCGAACTTCAAGGGTCATGGGACTTGGTCATTAGCGTTCTAATTAGGGTAACTATACTTACAACTACTTATACCCACGAATTTTAAGTACTCATAACTTTACTTACTAAGTCCCATGAAATCATCTTTTGGGCTGCTTTCTGGGGTAACTGCGGACCCTAAGGTTTCAGCTCTTTTAAGGTAGGACTTAGGCGTCGTTCAGGGTTTAGGCTTTAGGATTCCTTTAAGGGTTTTCCTTAGAGTTTTGGGTTCCTTTAAGCATTGATGTCGTGAGGGTTGTGAGTGTGTTGTAGGCTCTAGTTGTAGGATCTTTATAAAGTCCATGTGGTGATGTATTACATACTGTGGCCGTCAACTAACTACAATATGGGTATTTTGGCATCCAAACCTATACTACATTTGTACATGAACCACAGCCTATACTACATCATGTAGACGGGCAGTTAGAGGGAGCTTCTACAAGGGTCCTCGAAATTTAGGCGGGTTCTGGGATTCTGGGAATCCCACCTTGCCTCCCCGCATCCCTCCCTCCCCTGAATCCGTAGAACACCAAAAAACGGAATCTACATGAATACGAACTTGTTTCCAACGTCTTCATGCATCCTGTACCTTCTAGTAGTATAAACGACCCCACAGCAGCATGGTATGCGAAATTGTAGAGACAGAAAATCCCACATCGTTTGGATCCTCAACAACCCTCACCCCCACATCCTACTAAACCTGAGTATCACGAGCAGCAGAGCTGTCCCGGAACATGCCCTCCTGGAACCCCCCACGCCCCGGAACTTGCCTCAGAGCTGGCGATTATTTGCCCCAGACCTGATGACTTGTGGCAGAAACTAAAGCTTCAATCCCTAAAGCCCTAAACCCTGAAAGCCCTATGTCCTAAACCTAAGCCCTAAACCCCAAGCCAAAAGCCCTAAATCCCTAAAAGCCTGACCTTTGCAAGCCTTGTCCGGAATCCGAAACCCAACACCCTTAAAAGGCTCAAAGCCTCGCTCCTTGAGTTGTGAGGCGCAGCGACGGACCAGCTAGACCTGTCACGGCTTCGGCAAGGCCGGATTGGTCCCCTGAACTGTTCCTTTAAGGGTTCTATTGAAGGTTCCTGAACTGTTCCTTTAAGGGTTCAATTGAAGTTTACTTTAAAGGTTCTTTAAGGGGTTCTTCGGAGGCCCCTTTGAAAGGTTCTGATATAGGGGACCTTCGCAATTAGAATACTGTAGGCTTCTACATGATTTCTCCAGCGGTTCTTAAAGGCTTTACAGGGTTTCGGGTCTAGTCTGCTCGTTTACAGGTTCATTTCGGGGTTTAGGGTCCTTGAGTCCTGAAAGTAGCATGGGGCACTTACTACTTAGATGTAGAGTAGGATTCCGTAAAGAGTCGTTTAAGGGTCCTGTAAAAAGAAGCTATAGGGCCTTAATTAATGATTCTCTACAAAGTTTCTACGAGGACTCAGCTTTCAGTCCAACTCCGACATTGCTGGCATTGTCAAGGGCAAGGATGACGACCGCCCGAAGTGTGCTGCAGATGATGCTTTGTGCTGCTTGCAGTACAACGTCGACGCAGAGTTCACAGAACACGAGCATGAGGCATCTTTCCAAGCCATCACGAATGCCAAAGCCTTGTGCCTGTCGCTCTTTTGTCAACCCTTGCCATCGGGAGAGACGGCGCTCAATGGCAAGAAGGACAAGGCCTGCTTAAGGGATCATGGGACTTGGTAACTAGGGTTATAATTAGGGTAACTATACTTATAACTACTTATAACCCCAATTAAGGTACTTATAACCTTACTTACTAAGTCCCATGATCCTTTAAGTACTTATTTTTGCCGCCAGAGCTTCAACACATCATGCGGCTTGCTAAGGCCAAGCTCAGTGTGGATGGGATGTTCGCGCGCAAAATCACTGGAGAGCTCATTAAAGCGCCAGTACAGGTAGTGGTCTTTTGGTACCTAATTCTATGATGGTAGTGTATATGGACCCTCGTTGCCAAGTCCCTGCTTCAAGGCTAGTTGGGGTTACGCCTCGGCTTCACTCACCTAAACGAGTTGTGACCCTCCGTATAACCTTACCCCAAACCCTAAACTCCAAGCTCTGCCACCTGCTCCGATAAGCATCGCCAAATCCTTCAGAACAGAAAACCTCGCACGCTGTCGTGGTGATGACAGGCACCAAGCAGGAGACTGCCCAGATGTCAGATAACATGAAGGCTCGACACGGTTCAGGTTCTTAGGGTTTAGGATTTATAGAGGTCTTTATAAAAACCTCTATGGATAACATGAAGGCTCGACACGGTTCGGGTTAGAATTCTTACCCAGAGGGTCCAGGTACTCCCTATTATAGGACTTTAGGGCCTTTTTAGGTACCAAAAACCATAGATAGGAACTACTTGGACCCTTAGGGTTAGGGTTTAGGATTTAGGTCCGCGGGTTCAGGGTTTAGAGGTTGAGGGGTTCAGCATTCAGGGTTGCTGCTAGTTTTATGTGGGTGGTTCTGAAAACTTGGTTTGGTGGGTCCCAAACAACAGGGTGCCGTATTAAGAGTTGTAAAGGGATCCCCAGAAAGACTATGTGCTGTAGCTTGCTTCATCGTCAATGGCAAGACGATGATTTTGACGGTTACTTAAATGTGGACTTTCATTTAAAGCAGTTTCAATGTTGGGTCTTCA